ATGAAGTCATATTAAGTTCTGAGTTTATTCTTTGTGCTTGAACACATTCAAATGTGAACATTTAGCATAAGTCAATTGTAATCACTTCTCAGGCTTTTACTAATGCAGACATTTTCACCCACTTGCTGTTTTAGGAGTCCTTGCCTGGGTCACAGTGAACTTCCTTACAGGTAAGACATTGCTTGTGTTTTGCTATGATGGTGTAAGTGGTCAGGAGGCTCATATTTGAGGCTCCCGTGTACACAGAAGCCCTGCAGTGAAATATTTGGTTACATTTTTCACACAGCTACTACCCCATCAAATTTATCATTCTGACGGAAATTAGTGATAACACAGTATGCTCTGTTTGTTGCACAGATGATGGATAGCACTTTATCCTAAGTTTATTTGCCACAGGTCACTTGTACTCCAACACAAAGAGGACAGTGGGCATCCTGGATTTGGGCGGAGGATCTACACAGATCACATTCCTGCCCAAGTCAAAGGTGAATTAAATATTTTATGTGGTAAATACTGTAAGTCAGTGTAAAAAAGGTTTTAACCAAAAATACACTGCTAAACAATTGTTTATCCAACAGAAAACTATTCAGTCTGCTCCTGCCAGCTACATTGCCAAATTTAACCTCTTCAACTATACATATCAACTCTACACACACAGGTAAATAACAGACAAAGAAGTTGTTATATTCTCTATAGATTTGATGGCATGGATTTGATTTTTCTGATGTGTTAGTATTTTGAGGAGTAAAACATGCGCATCTATCTAAAAACGCATCATAATTGTATGTCACCATCACATAGCTACCTTGGAAATGGACTGTATGCGGCCCGACTTGCAACTCTTGGAGCACTAGGAGCTGATGGTAGAGTATTTAGTACATTTTATCACCTTTCTATTTGTAATCTGTCATTCTTTCATTTGGGAGATGGCAAACTGTTTCTTGTTTTTGTTTTCCCAGGTCTAGATTGGAAAGTCTTCACTAGTTCCTGCCTCCCGAAAAAGTTCAGAGAAGATTGGACTTTTGGAGGAACCACCTACAAAGTTAGCGGGATTCCAGACGGTAAGATAAAAGCACCCTGAGGTTTTAATTGCCTTCCCAGTGCTTTGGATCCAACAATCCGTGCATTCCTTTCTCAACTCTGGAACACAATAGAGTACAGTATAATACAGTCTAGCATGAGAACATTCATCTGCAGCAGTTTCTCTAACCTTGGCGCCAAACACATGTTTTGTCATCCCCTCTCTCTGTCCTCCCTCTTGAACAATTATACTGCCGTCAACCTTGTATTTAAACGAAAAGAAAACTGTCAGTTAACTTCACAAATAAGGCAGTCACTCCCATACCACAGTCGAGTAGCCAAAAGATGCTGGGCTTGTCCCCGAGTTGTTATTTTTTTTGTGTAACGAGTGGCTTGATCTGGACTGCTCACAATTATGTGGTAAAAATAGACAGCCCAACAACTGCTGCTCTTGTCAGCACATGGTTTTGCCGGCACAACTGAGCCAACCATACCCAGGGGGCTGTGTGAAACTTGTCGTTCTGGGGCTTCCCTTGTATGTTATCTGGTGAGTCCCAAGTTTCAACCCCTGGCTAACCTCAAACTGAGGCTCGAGGTTCTCCCTGTTGCATTCCAACCATTGCTGCATCCAAGCACCTTTAACTCATTGTTTACTCCACCAATATCAATAATTCTTTGAGAAAACTACATTAACCTTTTCTCTGTCTTCAGGTTACGCAGGCTATAAGCTGTGCTACTATGAGGTGATGAAGGTAATCAAAGGAATAGTGCACCAGCCCTATGAGGTGAAGGGCAGCAGCATCTTCTACGCTTTCTCCTACTACTATGACAGAGCCGTGGATTCTGGCCTCATTGGTGAGTGGGCACAGATCCTTAGAGCCACCTTCCAGTGCCATTATCCTCCATGCTAAATATCATCTTTTGCGTAAAATAGGTATTCAAATTGCATGTTTGTGTTTTCTGCTCAGATGGCAGTCGCGGTGGTGCGCTTGAAGTCAGGGATTTTAAGAAGCGAGCCAAGGAAGGTAAGAGTTACATGTTATCTTCTCTGGGGTTGGATAAACTTGTGTTTGAACCCAACAATCTTACAAGTTATATATATCAGTCTAACCACTCTTCAACCAAACTTCACACAGCACAGTCTATGCTCTAAGCAGCAAAAGCACTAAACCTTGTTTGTGCCCAAACACTTGGCACAATTGTGCCACAGCTTATCCTGAATTTATTACAACAGTAAAATGTAACCGATAATTTGCTAAAATATGTTATGGAGATGTATTATAAGACAAATGTAGTTTATTATAGAGTAAATATATGTTGACATCACTATAAAATGTTTTTGTATGTTTAACTGGTACCCACCATGCTTATCAGTTCGAGTGTGTGACACTTGTAATGTTCATGTAGAACCAGATTTATAGCAAGTAGGAACAAGTCGGTGTGTTATGTAAGGTTGTGAGAAGACTGTCACATGGTCTCAAGGAACACGTCTGGCTCAGGCTGGGCTGGCAGCTGAGCTGAAGATGTCTGTCTGGCCCAGGCAGGAGGGCACCTGACAGCCACACACCACCTGGGGGCTGACACATACTGAAACACACAAACTGTGTACTAGGCTGTTTAACACCCACCCGCAACCTTGTGCTGACCCTCTTTTTGCACCTCCCTGTTTATTCATCCAAACAAAACTGAAAGGTCATCTTTTAATCATGTAGCACACGAGTTAGAAAGGGTGTTTTTTTTGTTCATACAGACATTAATACATGCAACAAGGTGTCTCCATGTGTCAAATGCTTTTTTTGTCAGTGGCATGTGAAACCTGTGGTAATCATGACTGAAAGCTGTTGCTTTTTTGTGTTTGCAGTGTGCAACAAAATGACCAAATACCGTGCTATCAGCCCCTTCCTCTGCATGGATATGACATATATCACTTGTCTGTTAAAGGAGGGCTTCGGCTTCAAGGACAGCACTGTGCTGCAGGTACGCAAATCAGAGCCACATGGACTGTGAACAAACAAGTCGAAGCGATACAAGATTTGAAAAGCAACATGACAAAACCTTTATATTCTGTCTGTACAGTTTTTTTCCCAGAGACTTGTATTTTTCAAATCAGTATGACAGTAGTTGTAGGAAATGGTTTGCTTCTGTTGATGTAACATCACTGAATAGTGAAGACTAGTGTTGTCATGTTTCTTAATGGAGATCCTCCTGTCACTCTGTTCAACAGCTAGCCAAGAAGGTGAACAACGTGGAGACAAGCTGGGCCCTGGGGGCAACCTTTGACTACTTCAGAAACCTCGACATCCACTAAGGACAGCTCGCTGTCACTGCAGCCGGCACTGAGAGGGACAGTCTGTCACTGCAGGGCTTCCCTGACCCCCCACCCCACCCCCCCACCCCACCCCACGATCAGCCCGCCCCCTTACAGACACATCCGGTCCCACCATGCTTCTCGCCCACCACGCCCCTCCTCTTTTTCCTCAACCTCAGCACCCTGCGTACACTCCGAGAACTGTTGAAAAAAGAAATCACTATATTTTTATAAGGCCAGCTATTTCTACTGTATGTTGAGCTCACAACTGGTGGGCTGACTTTATTTTTTTGTAAAACGTTTACATTTTTGATTTCTTATGGGTGTCTGATCTGAAATGTCTTTCTCACCTACAGTTAAGTGTGTTGATGGTAGTTTAGAAGCAATACAATCAGTCATGGTATTTTGGTGCTTACTGTGGTCCTGGTTTGCACTGTACAGTGCAGCCATAGTTGTCTTTCTAAATGCTTGTAAATCAATAGTTTTTTCTAACAGTAAATTATTTCACCCTAATTAATTTGGCCCCAGCCTTAGACAGCCATTCAGCTTCATTTCTTCAACTTTGCACATAACACTTTAATTGTAGATATTGTAGCTTAGACATGATCAGTTGCTTTGATGTTTTGACTAAAGACTTGTGTCGGCTTCACCACGACTGAGGGGGCAAAGAGAGTGCTTTAGAGCGATGCCTCTTATAGACTGTGTAGTACAGCTGTTACATGTTTGAGGTTAATGTCTGTATTTTTAAAGTTCAGCCATTATTGCTTGTTTTGTCTAGAGTGGAAAAGACCTTATCAAGCATAGCTAAATTGCAGGGGCCCCACGTCTGAACTGCATTTTAGACTAGCAACAGAAAAACCTCTCATCAAGGGTAGATAGTTCATCCATCATCACAATTTACAGCCACTAAATACAGCAAAAAATGTAAACAGAAATTAAGCAAAATGACTCCTTCATTTGTTGCGGTTTGCTCAAAAACATGATTGAATTCTGTCATTTGCCTTGTTAAGTGTACAGATATTTAACTAACTTTATCTAATATAGAATATTTGAATTATCCTCACCCAATATTAACTCTTGAACTTTCTGTGTAACTGCTCTTTAAGCCGTGCCTTTGCTGTCTGTTCAGAATTCAACATGTTCAGTAACTACTGCTGTATATACAAAATATAAACTTTTATTAGTAAACTCTTTTGACAGGAACTGCTTTTACATTTCAAAAACTTCCTGCTACACAATCAGAAATGTTTCTATGTTCATCGGTATGAATAACCTGAAAACTGACAATATGTAGTGTTGTTTTTATTAAATCCAGTGAAATAAGTGTATGTTTTAATAAAACATGAAAACATGTATGTGTATTTATATATTTCTTTTATATCAAGAAAGACTTCTTGAACATAAAACATTATCAAACTTTGCAACATTGGATTCATGACCTTATCTAAGACTGCATAGTTTGCATACTATTTCCTCCATCTGAGAATGAAGCCCTTTACACATGTTCATATCATTCCTAAAAAGATTACTTCTTGGATATTTCAGAACTTGGTCTATGAACTGTAAATGCAATCAACAATCCTTATGCTTGATATTTTATATGCTCATGCAATGTACCATTTGTAAATGTGGATTTATTTTGCACCAAAGCCCACACAAGACAAAAAAAACATGAAAGAGTAAAATATATCTTTATTACTATTTTTTTACATTCACAATTTTTACAGCCTTTACAGCGCACAGTCTCTCAAGATCCACCGACGACCACCGCGTGATGGATGCATCACTTGCTTGCAAATGCCATGATCTGCTCCTGCAGAGGCAAAAGAGACAACTCAGAAACTCTGACCTTTGAATCATGCTCATTAAAAGCCTGTTATGAGTAAGTGGCGCTCACTACAGACTTCCATACAAGACCTGTAAACTGGTGAACTCACAACAGTTAATATGGAAAAATACAAGTGTGCCTCCATAGTGAAATGCTTTTACAGTCAGTTACAGTTGTGTTGGTCTGAATCACTTAGTAGGGAATAAAGCCATTTCACATGAGTGGTCGGTAATAAAAGGGGTGTGAAAACACAAGCCAACACCGCTGTCCGCTGCCGGCCCTGCACCCCACCCACACACTTTTGGTAACACTAAATTTGGGGCTAAACTTAGATGCCATAGTAGTAGGTTCACAACCCTGGAAATTATAGACACCGCTAAAGTAAAACGCGGTGTAATCAGAAGAGAGGGTGGAAGGTGGTGTCAGGGTGGAGGCGGCGCTTAGGTCTGTCAGGTGGTTGATATTATCTGAGTGATGGCCAAGTTCAGTGGGATGTACAGGAGGATATGTTTGGAGGCGGAAGCTAGAAGAGAGGGAGCTTACTTTAAGCGCTGGGAGCATGTTGGTGGCCTGCAGGCCAAAGGTGCGTAGGAGAACAACAGGAGCAACGTTAGTGGAATAAAGGCGTTTCATGAGGTCGATTGCGGCCATCATGGGCAGATTGTGTCGCTGGCGTTCAGTTTCATATTCTAACAGATGCTGCATCGCTCCTGCACAATCAAACAAAAGACTGGGGGTTAAAAATTGAGCACATAGTTATAGTTTAAGCTTGTGTTTGTCTGTCATATATTTTCTGTATTAAGTCAATACACTGGTGCTATTTTGACTTCAGAACATTTAACACAGGAAAAAAAATACACACAATATCTCATAACAGGATGTCATTTTTTTATGAAAAGCAATGTTCTTGGTGGAATGAACAGAAAAAACATCAAATAAATGTAACCGGAAAAGCTGAGACTTTTATAATTCACATCAACAGCATGCGTTTGAGCTGGGGCTATGGAAAAGAGCTTAGGGGAAACCACTGTGCTATGGTTGCAGCACTTGTGTCTGTTTAGAGTTTTCACTGACCCAGGTCCTTCCCGTTAAAGGCCGCCTGGCTCAGGAGCTGCGTGAGACAAGCTACATCTCCAAAGCCCAGGTTGGCTCCCTGACCAGCCAGAGGATGGACTCTATGGGCTGCGTCCCTGCAAAGACAAACATATTCCTCTCTGTCCAAATACATTTCACTCACAGAATACAAAATTTTATGCACAGTGCAAGAATATCCTTCCCTTACATGTGAAGTAAAAATGTACAAATGTGCAGGCCATTACTTTCATTATGAGTATCTTACCCAATGAGAGCTACCCGGTGCCTGATGTACTCTGATGCATGACCCATGCCCAGAGGAAACATGACTCGGGTCTTTGGGCCGATCCCTGCCACACTTGGGGGAAGCTGTCGAGGTGAACCTGCAGACGGCATGATGGCTGACAGGGCGCCGCGGAACAGAGAGCCAGCTGTCTCTATCAGCTCTGACTGGTTCTCATTACTCCACTGTTAGTGCACAGACAGACGGGCAGGAAGAAAGAGACATATTCACAGAGAGTGAAAAAAAGGCCAGAAGAGAGGGAAAACAGACAGTATCCCTTTGAGTGGACAACAAGATTAGCCGACATAGGAGAAAAGCTGAGCTCCAGGCCAGTGAAAGTGCTTTTTTTCCACTCTCTAACTAACTGGTTTGGCAGGGCTTCAGGAGCTGAGCTAATTAAAAGAAGATGCCGGCCAGGCTATGCAGTTGAATTAGCTCTGTTTGAAAAACATTCCATGCAGTAATGGTCGACACTGGGAGACCACAGGTTTAATTAGCAAACCAGGCCTGAAACCAAACGTGACTCAACCGTGGTGACCCCGTCCATCAGCAGGCCCAGTAAAAATAGCCAGCTTGGGAAAAAGGAGTTTCTCCAAACACAAAAAAATGGATAGTGAAATATTAGTATTGTATAAAGTGTGGGCAAAACAATGACATTATTGTTTGTATGAGTCAGGAAAAACAGCTCAACGCGTGAGTGAGTCTATGGAGAACCCCCGCCACATACAGTACATTGCACACAAATACAGAAATATTGCAACATCTCCCTGATAGATGTGGAATCTGACTTTAAACCCATCAGCAGTGTACTTACGAAGGCAGAGTTGATAGCGTCGACAAAGCTCTCCTCATCCAGCTCCAGCAGCTCCTCTGCGAGCCGATGGCTGGTCGACCACACCAGAGAGCTCTCTGTGTCCGACAGCTGCAGTGCACAGAGCATGGATGCTGAAGCACTCTCAAATAATGTGTGACAGAGGGATATTTTGCAAGGAAAAAAATATTGCAGTAAATAACGCAGATGTATTACCGGTAACATTGCAATGGGTCCTGTTGGGAGGAATCTCTGCCATGCTACATTGTTCTCCGTGGGCTGTCCAACACATAAATTGAATCTAATTAAATATGCTACTGAAATGTTTTGGCATTGCATTATATGGCATACATTTAATAACACATATTGCACATAAACACAAGATATTTTAAAAGTTACTACTGGGCGTGTGTGTTATTCTCTCCATGCTGACAGATTCTAAAATAAAAACACTGAGTAAATTTACTCACTTACATACAAAAATGGTTTGTTTTAACCAGCAGCGTGGAACTCTCCCTTCTGGCAGTGAGCGTAATTACACAAACACTGTCAACGCATGCTCATGACAAAAGCCATAGAGGTGTGCCCGCCCCAGGTTCGTGATCAGAGGAACTTCCACAGTTCCAAGACAATGATCCATTATTTAGGTAGAGTAAATGTAAAAGCTACACAGCCTACTCCAAATATTTTACAAATTCCAATCTGTCCAAGAGCAGTAATGCGACATCCGTGATTGCCCTCAGTCCCTTCTCTTCTCTCTCTTAGGTTTTCTGCCATACTAGTCATTACTTTACTTACAAACGGGGGATTTTGAAGCCAAATTGAGAACTGGTGGTCCTCCCCAAGTTTCAGAAAATGTGTTTCCTACAGACCTTATTAGCAACAGAGTAATTCACCCCTCTGGTGTGAACTTGCGTGAATCTCTGGTATAAACCAACATTTTTCATTCATTCATTCATTCACAGGCAGCTCTCTTCAGCATCACGTGCATGCCAGGAAACAACATTTGGTGCAGCTGTATTGTTCTCAGGGTGTAAAAACAGTACATTTTAAGAGTCTGAGGGGTTATTACATGCCAGAAACTGAAATGGAAAAAAAGGTGAAACTGGGATAGGTCAATGAACGAGAAAATCAGGAGGGTCGGTAGGTATGCTCCTAGCTGGTTTAGCTACTCTGCCACTACAGTTGCTCCAGAGCCATTTAGAAAGAGTTCCCTCATCTCCTGTTCAATTTCAATTAAAGTGTATGACTGCATACAATAAAACTGTGCCAAAGAATATTAACAAAAATGGCTCTGGGTTGCTCCCCCCTTCAGCTCTGGCAAATAAATCATTGCTGGTTGGCCCTAAACACATCATTACCGGTGCGTCAGAATGTCACCACAGACACCGGATTTAAAAACTCTGCACTACTGCGTTTTCGAATTAAAACGGAGACCTTTTGCTACGTTTGCACCTCCCGTCCAGACTAAAACGACGAAAACGAAGATTTAAAACGGATAAGTTTGGAAACGCTGACGACCCCGTTTTGCGTTAGTTAGCAAAACAGATGACTTTAGAAACGATGACGCAGCTGCTCACGCTCGGCTCTCTGATTGGGTCTTGCAAAGCAGAAACACAATGCAACTGACCGGGTTTTTGACGTCGTATTTTTATTATAATATTATGTACCGTGCAAATAAGACTTATCTTCCTACACTCGTACTGTGCATGTCGCCATTTCCTTTGTGACGGCTCGCAGCCTTCGTTTTAATTCTCCGTTTATAAACTAAAACGGAGTAGTGTCGATGGGGCCCAAGACATCTACCTGACGGTGATAGTCTTACTCAGCATTGTGTGCTCTCCTTTGGTGAGAGCTTGAATATAACAGATATTCAGTTATATGTAAAATCCCGTACTCCAGCTTTAAATATTTGAGTGTGCAAAATATACATACAGTATACAGGGAGGGATACATAGCACACATTATAATAAAGTACACTACATGCACATGCTCAATGTGATACTTACCTCTGATAGGTGCAGCACAGCAACCACAGCAGATTGGTCATAATTCCATTTGACTGTGGGTATCCCCAATTCCTGCCTCACCATTGAGTTTGGTCCATCTGCACCAATCTGCAAAACAGATGAGAAAAAGAAAAACAGTAAAAAAAAAAAAAGAACAAAGAAAAAGAGAGACGAACAGCTACAATTTGTGTGAAAGAATCAGACTGACCAGCAGCTTGGTTTGAATTGTCTCTCCATTGGCCAACATGACCTGGACCCATGGGATGGAGTCTGCTGCCTGGTGGAGCATGGGCCACGCGTACTTCACCACCTTGGACCTGTACTTAACTTGCACGTTATCTGGCACACAACAAGGACATAAAACTTGACTACAAAGGCGGCAGAAAAGGGGAAAAAAAAGCAGCGCTTCTTAAAATAAAATTGTAACTGGTGTGACTCTCACAATAAAGGGATCAATCTTGGTCCTGTGTATGTATCATCACACTAAATCAGTGCTTTGCTACTTTTTCCGTCAAAAATGAGAGGATTGCTTGCCTGCAGTTGAAGCAGTGGAAGATTTATAAACCACTTCATAAAACACCACTGGTTTTCCTCCCTGGCACATTTGACAATCCTCTTAATGGTCTTGGCCTGCCACATTGCACTGACTAATAGTGTTTATCTACATGAACACCAGGCCACACTTTGCACATGCTGTCAGCTTGTTAAGAGTTTGCACTAAAACTGCCCCTCTTCCAAAAATATCAGCAGCTGGACACCCCAAACATGAAAGGATCCCGAGCTGTGCTGGCTCACACCGACTTGGAGCGGCACCCATCCACAGAAAGGCTACTGGTTCCCGAACACAAATGTCAAATATGGGTTTTCAGTGATTGGAGTGCAGGGTTCCACTGAAACCAGCTGGCATGGAGCACACTTTTCATGTACTGCATGGAGCGTAACAACACAACGGCTATACTGAGAGGAGAGAGAGAGCAGCGGACAAATGGGGAGGCACATGAGGCAAAAACGTGCTGTGACCACATATCCGTTGTTTGGTGCAAAATGTTGAAAACTATTTATAAATATGCCACTTCAACTGTCAAGCACATAGCAGTGCTAAGTTTTATTTGTGACCCTCACAAAAGTTGCTCTAATGTCAACAGCAATACAGCACTACCCACCGTCAGCACTTCAGTGTCTTAAGAGGTGGCAAAGCTTGGGAGCACATGGCAGCTTTAAATAGGTCACTGGACCACTTCACGTGTCCTCAGAGGGTGTCGGGGCTCTGCAGTTCCCAAAATGTGAGGTTTTGATTGAAATTGCAGGAAAAACATGAACGGCTCCAAGAGCTTAACTTGTCTTTAAAAACAGTCACTGGGAGAGAGTACAAATAAACAAAACCTGGGGACAGGACGGAATAAATGCGGTGGCATTAGCTGCCAGGCTCAGTGTCCATTAGGCAGATGGAATAGGAATCAAGAGGTCTCACAGAGCACTGCTACTGTGTCGGGTTTCATGTTTTAGTCATAAATGGTGTGCTTACCGGACAGGCTGTCCAGCTGTTTAGTGAGTGCAGCCACAACGACGTCGTTCTCCACGATGTACGCCATCTCGTCCTGCAGGTTTTCCTTATCGAATGTGATCAGGGCATCAGAGCAGGCATCCCAAACCTAAATGAGAGACCCATTATGCATGCGGTCTACAAGTCTATCCTTAAATGCATCCCCTCTCCCTATATATAGCTAGGCATTGAAGTGCTGCTTCATTGAGCTGAACACATCAAAGTTGTTAACTGCAGAGTTTGGCACAGCCTACATACATCAAACCCAGAGCAATGAGGGTCACCCCTCTGGCTGGACGGCTGACTCCTGCTTAATGGAGCTCTCTGATTTTGTGAGGTGGATTTTTTTTTGCAAACATATTTTTGTGAAAACACAAATCACAACTGACATGTTTGTGAACATAAAGACTGAGTCAACATTTATCCACAACCCAAAAGTGGCAAAATGAGAGATAGTTTTAGGTTACTGTAATTCCAACCTTGAAAGCACCGTTTGAGTTAAACATGCGGGGGTGAAAAGTGTTTGTACAAGGTTAATCCTCCCCTGGCATGTAACTATGGTGACAGCACCCATCATTCTGCAATAATATGCTGCCGCACTACTTTTTTCCCCCAACTTGCCATAAAGTAGGATATACCCTACAGAAAACCACTAATGGCAGTGGGTTTGCAACTTGTTATAAGTGGTTGGGCAGAAAGATTTACTGAGTGAGACCAGCCCAAAAATTGTTTTGGGTTTGTTTAACACAGGGTGAAATAATGCAGGTTGGGGACAGAATCAGTTACTACATACTTTGTGCACGATTTAAATAATACACTTCCTTGCAACTTTATAGAGAAAAATGTGGGCAAAATGATGCCTTGATGGCAAAAACTCGGATTGTCTTCTTTTTCAAATCTAAACCCTCAATGCTTACTAGACGGTTAAGGTGAAGAGCATTTTATTGCACGGAAAGAATGTTGTTAAGTGCTGAGCTGCAGTACATATTTCCCAGCGCTATGGCTGGAGATGTATATGACTGAGATTCACTGGGCAAACAAGCCAAAACAGTGGTAGCAGAGTGAAGGTATAATGGGAGAGGTACACTACCATAATCACTGTAAGGCACTGCATGATGACATCTTAGGCCCAGAGAGAAACCCTGCGGTCGAGTGTTTGGTACACACAGACCACATCTTACAAGAGGGACGGAGCCTGCACCCACAGCCGTAAAGCGGGTTCACTCTGCAGCAAACAACCACTCTCCTAATCTTTCATCTTCTTCCCGTTGTTCACATGAATCTTCATAATTATAAGATGTGGGGAATGAGTACCAATTTAAAAAACATCAAAATGATTTACTCTTCATAGAAAACATGGCTTTAATAAATAAAACTTGCATGATCAGAGAGCCATCCAGTACTTTGAATGTGCCCGGAGATTGCATTTTTTTTTATAAATATACCTTGTGTTCTTTGGCATTCTATGTGCCACAAATCCTGCAGAGCTACTAGAAAGGCATAAATTGCACAAAGGAATGAACAAAATGCATGCTACATGAAACCACTGTTTGCCATTTTAATGTGAACAATTACATACCATAAACATGATTATATGATACAGTATTGTTTTGCTTGTGTAGAGGCTGAGTGTCACAGAGTTTTCTCTCTGCAAATTGCATGGTGCTATGATTGATAGATGATAGAAATACATACAGTATACCAGTAAATTAGAAAGTCTGGAGGACGTGTGGAAGTTGTGTAACAGAAGGATTTTGGGAGATGCTCAGCACTAGGGCTGAATGATTTTGAAAAAATATCTAATTCCGATTATTTTGAATGATATTGGAATTGCGATATGATTTGAGATATTAGAGGGAAGGATCTTTTTTTACATATTCATTCTCATTTTCATTGAAAAACATATTTAAATGAACAAAGATGCTTTCTTAAGTATGTAGAATGATGTGTAGGCCAGAATATCTCAATATTTTATTCAAAATGTTGCCTTTAATACATATGTGAAATATGTATTAAAGGCACCTTTCACCTATTGCAATTCCGTTAAGATTTTGATTAATTGTTTAGCCCTACTCAGTGCTGCAGCAGGCTCTAGTTACTTTTGTTTCACTTGAAATTATACTTTTCTGAATTTCTGACATAGCAGTACAGTTGTAGTTATCATACCCTTGTGTTGCACAGATTTTAAAAACAAACTCATAGTAAGGTTGATATGACGATCAACATACCTGCATCTTTTTATAGGGCTTGCATCTCATCTTCGTGATGTGTTCCCATGCTCCAATACCTGTGTGTGCACAAACACATTTTAAAAAACAATCACAATGCTAATTTAATGCAACAGGGGTGTCCCAGTACTTTTATCCATAGTGTATGTGTGTAAAACACTGGCTGCATGTGCTAACACATACAGGTAGCCTGAAATCTTGAAAAACAAAATGCACAGGTCTGAAGTGATGGTAATGTTCAGCTATTTTTGATGGACTATACAGCTGAGATGGCAGATTTAGGACATACAACATGTTTCACCTACGAGTCCATCAAGCCCAGCTGAAGTCACACTGCCTGAAATCCCAGACTTTGCTTGGTGGCCAAAATCTATAACCTTGAGAGAGAAGTTTAACCAGTGGTGGAGGAAATATTCTGGTCCTTTTTTTGAAGTAAAAGTACTAACCCCATATGGTAAAAGTATGTAAAGTATATCAGGAAAGTATTCAATGCAGAAAAATGTCCCCTGTGACTGTTATTCTATTAAATATGTATCATTAGATTATTATTACTGATGCATTGAAGTGAAAGCATGATTTTACTGCGGTAGTTGATTGAGGTGGAGCTAATTAAAAATGTTATAATATTGTGAATAGGACTGCATCTAATGACTATTTTCATCATGGCTTAATCTGCTGATTATTTTCTCCATTAATTGATAGATTGATTTGTAAATTTCTTTTAAAAATAGTGAGAAATTCCATCGCAGTTACCCAGAGCCCAAAGTCACACCTTCACAATGCTTGTTTTACATTAACTCATTTAGCTGACACTTTTATCCAAAGCTATTTATGCCAGAGGTCTGGAGCAAGTTGGTATTAAGTGTGTTGCTCAGGGACACAATGGTGGATGGGTCACAGTGGGGGATTGAACCTGGGTCTCTCACACCAAAGGCATGGTCTTATCCATTGCGCCATTGTCCAACCAACAGTCTAAACTTCACATTTGTTATTAATTATTACAATTAAGACAAAGATGCTAATCTTCACATTTGGATCAAATGTTATTACATGAAAAATATTTGCCAATTAATTTTAACTGATTGATTTGGTTGACCGTTTCAGCTGTACAAGCATTTACTGTTGTGTAGTTTAGTTTACAACAACACATCATATTTTATGAGCTCTTCATATGTTTTGCGTGTAAAAATCTTAATTTGTAAATTAACTAGCTGTCAGATAAATGTAGTGGAGTAAAAAGTACAATATTGTTTTGGAGTAGAAGTAGAAGGGAACATGAAGTACCTCAGAATTGTACTTAACTACAGTACTTGAGTAAATAAACTTATTTACATTCCACCAATTGCTTTTAACTACAGTTTGGGCTATAGAAAAACTCACCTCCTTAATGTAAGTAAGAAAAAAAAGCAGAGTCAGGAAACATCCCAGGTGACCTATCACATGAGGAACAATTAAGGTCAGATAAGATCCCTGCTATGCCCAGGTGACCCGACAGTGTCTGATCCCTGGCTTACCTTGTGGGAGCCATTTAAGTCTAGCACAAGACACTCACAGGGAGGGAAATAATCACCGCACAGAAATAACTTTTTGGATTTATTTTGTGTCTGTGGTGAAACTGCCCTTTTATAAATGTGCAAAGCCTTTCAACAAGAACAGAGTAAGTGATGTTCCTGTGTGTCAGTTTGTGTAAGTGTATCCTGTACCACTGAGGAGGGTGGCAGAGCCTGGGCTGATGGAGCTGACTCTGGTGCTATAGGTGTCTGGGACCTTGTCCATCACTTTCTTATTCCCCGCTTCAAGCAGGAGAATCTTCTTACCCGCCAAGTTGGGATCCATGCCTGTAAAAAATCATACATTATCTAAAAATGACAGCAGCAAATATATAAGATCGAGTCTCAGCAGCATTACCATAACTGCATGCATTCTTCTTGTGATGAAGCCTTGAGGGTTAAGGGTTAAGTTTCTGGTATCATAAATTTCACTCTACCTGTTTTCCCATTGCATCATATCTCAGAATTTACATTTTAGTAGCTTTTACAGTAATTATCACAGGTTTGTATGGGATTATCAAAAGAGACACAGGTCTGGGTGAATGAGGACAGCTCCTGATAACATTCATTTTAATTTGAAATTGAACAGGTTAATAATAGCTTAAGTCACAGTCAGTGTTGGGAAGGAGTCACTCACCCAGGGAACACGCCATTGCAGATCCAACCATTCCTCCCCCGGATATGATAACATCATATACCTCACGCTTGCCAGAGTCTTCCCCATGTTCTGAACACACTAACCCTCGGCTAATGTTTTTTATAGCAGATAAATGCCTTTCTGCAATATAACACCGGCCAACACCGTTAAGGGCCAGCGTCGCCTTTGTGAGCTTATGCATGATTCTGTCTTCACTCTGTCTTCATAGGACAAACCCTGCAGTAAACAGGAGAAAACCGTTCAACTTTGATGCCTTGATAATGTCACATGCCAATCAGACAGACATTTCCCCTTGAACGCGTCCTAATAACGGCAGCTGTGTCCCTCCTGTAATCCAGCCATGTTGTATTGACAAGAAGAACCAGAGGAAGTACTTCCGGTTTCGCGTCCAATCACAGAAGACGTCAGTCGCGGCTGGCGTTGCTGTTTCTGTCCACAAACAGTGCTAATGAAACCAAATTGTGAGCGAGTGGAAGTAAAAGACACTTGCGTCGTCTCAGGTGTAAAACAGAGACTCTTTCAACTTCATTTCAACAACATACCTCATAAGCTTACCGAATAAGTAGTGTATCTTGCCAGCGGAGATATACGAATTTGGAAGACGCTTCGACGCCAAGAAACACTTCCTAAAACTCGTCTTTTACCAGGTTGGCGGCTCATTATTACTTTCTCTTTGAATATCGTCATTTTGATTTTTATCACGCGCTTTTAAGTGGCAGAAAATAGAGTTTAAAAGTAAATACATATAGAAACTTAGCTTAGCTAGCGCTAAATATTGTACATGTCCTGACTCTATTGCACACTGTTTACAGCGCAGCGGAGGTCTGGTTGCCACGGTAACCAGTTCACACAGACTGGAGGGGGAGTAACTTTTTGTATTATCAAACCTTGAAATACAAATACAAAACAGGGCAGCTAACTACAAGTAATTTTTATCATCAAGTCAAATCAAATCAAATACCTTTGGTGTCACACAACCATATACACGAACGCGAACAGTTTCAGGTTCCTGACAAAGTCATCTCCCATCTCCACGCTGGTGAAGAAAGCTCAAAAACGACTGTAAAAAAGCTTAAGAAGGCTAAATTCCTACGCCAAGCTTTTTTCTTGTCATCCTGACTGACTGGCATGGGATGTGCATGGCCCAGGAGGGCTCTGCAGGGGGTAGGGTTGGGCTGAATGGCCAAAAATGTTGTCATGATAAAAAATGTCATATCATTCCATATCTATAATTATCACGATACATTTCTTTGTAGTTTTAAGGCAGATTTTTGCTCTTGAGTGAAAGTTGACACTTAACACACACACATCACTTAATGCCAAACCGTCGAACACATAAGAAATCTGAGGTAGAACATTCAAAACAATTATAATTATAAAATCGTTTTTCAACAAATATACGTAATGTGATATATATGAGTAAAAATTTGTAAAATCTTTTTTTCAGTCCCTTGCCCTCAACAAAATAAATATTTTAATAGAAAAATTAAGTGCTGATTTGTTTGGGATTCAAATGAATAAAATCAAACATTTATTGAACATTTGTTAAATTGTTATTGAGGAAAATTACATTGCAATAATTATTATTATTGTTATATTGCCCAGCCCTAGCAGTGGGTGATTAAAACTGCTCAGAAGATCATTGGTACCCATCTCCCAAGCATCAGTCATATCGGTGAGGTGAGGTGCCTACGCAGAGCCCAAAGGATACTAAAGGACAATACCCACCTAGCCACAGCCTGTTAAACCTGCTGCCTTATGGGAAGAGATATAGGAGTTTCTGCGGCCGCACCACCAGATTGTAGAGCAGCTTTTTCCCTCAATCTATCAGACTTTTAAGCTCCAATTCATCCTCAGCACTGCTCCACTGAATGTAGATTTTTTCTGTCCATTTTTATGATTGCTTTTGTATTACTGTATATTGTCTGCTATGTAACAGAAGGGGGTAACAAACTAAATTTCACTTTACAACCTGTTGTAATGTGACAAATAAACCTACGTTCTACCTTGTACCTTGTACAAGTGAAAGTTGGTGAAAATCTTGGGTGAAGTTCCAACAACATAGCAGTAGGGTACTTAAAAAAACACAGTATGATGGACATACATCAAACATCCAACGTTAAAAGCTACACAGTCCAAGGATTAAAAGCTGTATAAAAAGGGTACACTGTTGGTGTAATAAATATAAAATATATAAAAGGTGTTGTGTTGGCCATGATAGTAAGTTGCCAAAATATGTATGGAAAAAAGTCCAGGCTAAGGCTAATAAAGTGCAGTGCTGATATGTATTGGGTTATCAAGAGTTCAAGAGTCTGATTGCTTGAAGGTAGAAACTGTCATGTAGTTGATGCTGTGATACTGCCTACTTGATGGTAGCAGTGAGAGCAGCCCATGGCTCGGGTGGCTACAGCCTCTGGTGATCCTCCCAGCTTTTTTTCCACATATTGCTTGGTATAGATGTCCAGGAGGGAGGGAAGCTACCTTCAATGACCCGTTCAGCTGTTCGCACCACCTTTTTCAGTCATTTTTGATTTGATTAGCCATTAATTAGTAGTTGATTCATTTATTTTACCAATGTCAGAAAATACTAACAACTGCCCATTATAATTTCCCAAAGCGCAAGATGTCAGTCTATGGTCCAAAGGTCCAAACCAACTATCTTAAACCCAAAGATATTCAGTTTATAATGATAAAAAATTGAGCAAAACTGCAAATTAGTTAGTTATTTTCATTATAGATAAAATTGTGAAAAAGCTTCCCAGAGCCAGCGGTGACATATGTACATAGAATGTTTTGTGTATTATAAAGTCAAAGATACGTAATTTTTCAACGGAACAAAACATAACTAATCCAACTAATAAAACCACAATATAGGTCACATTTGAGAAGCTAGATCCTGAGAATTTTTGACATTACATTTTTGATTCAGAAAATTACGTAAAAGAATAATCAATTATTAAAACAGTTGTTTTCTGTCCATAAAGTAATTGACTGATCATTTGATTATTTTATTTAAAAAAAGATGTTCCGTCACCCTGCTAATTTCCATCCATGTAATGTGTATTATTTTGTTACAGATCACATCACATTATTTTGTGTAAAACTTTGCTACAGTGAAGTAATTGAAAAATAATAATATAATGGGAATATAGGAAGTTTGTTTCTGGACAAATTACTTAAACAATAAATGAATTATAAAAATTTATGTCAATTTACTTTCCATTTGTAGACAAATGGATCTGATTAAGCATTTCAGCACTGAACGTTTTTTACAGGAATAAATAGCCTGTCGCTGCTTGGACTCTCTGTTTTCTTTTTTTGTTAGTTTCACAGGTCAGAGGAATATGTCAAAGCTGGAGACCATGCTGGAAGATGGACTCAGATCAGAGTTAATGCTCCAGCAGCAGCTGAAGACCTTGAGTAAGAACCTCAGGCAGCAGCTGCAGGAGACAGAGAGGAGACAGAGAGAGGAGCTGGAGAGGAGGATTCATCAGAACGCTCTACTGTCAACAGATGTAGACAGAGAGTCTGGTGATAAAAATGAAGTGAACCATCTGGCAGAGTAGGTTTCTTCAAATTGATTTTATGTTTTTCATATAATATATGTATTTCTTTATTGGTATTTACTGTTTCCTTCAGACAGGTGGGAATGGTGAGATCCACCTCCACATCTCCCCTGACTTCAGACAAAGAGACTTTGCATCATCCGAGACAGTCAGACACGCCTAACTCATCTTCTACAGTCTGGGTATCTCCAACATACAGGACGTTCACGCTGACTCCTGCCAGGATTCAACAGTGTGAGCGGTTTGCTTTATCTAAAACAACACAGATGAGCAAGGAGGAGGAGGCAGAGGCTGAGTGTCAGAAGAAGTTCTGCGCTCTCCCAGCCCCCAGCAATGTCAGTCAACCCCTATATCAGGAGATGGTGGAGCTGAGAGAGAAGGAGAGGAAGCAGGGCCGTGAGCAGAGGAGGGACTTCTTGCTCTCCATTCAAAAACCTTTCAGTTTCCAAGAGAGAGAAAAGGAGAAAAGAGAGAAGCTGATAGCAATGTTAAACCAAGTCTCAAATGATCAGAAAAACAAGGCTGCTACTGTTAGAAAACCTCGTCACAAAGAAGTAAAAGACTCGTCAGGCTCTGAGCTTAAAGGTGTGTTTCCTTTTCTGATTTATTTTATTTATAGTAGCAGTATGCACGTATACAGCATGTCTGATACACTTTAAGCACTGACAAAACTACATCCTGTTCTGTATTTTGTTGTAATTCTGTGCAGAACAGGAGATCTGCAGACAAGCATCCACTTGGACAACAGTGGGTTATGAGAATCCTACTGTGTCTGTTAGCTCGAAACTTCGCACTGCTGAGCGCACCAGGAAAGAAAAGTTGGGATTCCTGGATGAGAGGCCCAGCTTCCAGCCAAAAATCATCCATCAGGTCCCTGATTTCAGCAGGCTACACAAAGCCTTGCAGACAGAGGGCCTGAGAAAAACACAGAGTAAAGATGTTAAAGATGTGATCAAATGTCAGCCCTTCTTTCTGAGGACATCAGCTCTCCCCGCAAGGCAAAGTAGGATGAGCCCTGAAAACTCACAGGTAAAATATTGTCTTTACCCAGACTAGTTGTTTCGTTTACTTTGAGAATTTGATAAAATTGTTTAATTGTTTTTTTATTCTCTAGTTGCGGTTATTCCTTCATTCATTTTAGTGCAGTTTGGTTTTAGTTACTTGTCACAATATAGTGAGTTTAGTTTCTATGGTTTTCAATTTTATGCTTTGATTATTTTATATTTATTTCAATTATATAATTCAAGTTGTCGAACTTTCATGGGCAACAGATTGGTCAGAAGTGGTAATTATTGTAGGCTGAGAATGAATGAATGACTTTCTCAAAAATATTCAATAAATGTAAAGAATAATGCCTGTCCTGAAGAGCCAGTGTCTCTCAAGGAATTACACAAGAAGACATCCAGGAATCCAAAGCACCAGGTAGCTTCACATTATAGTTTTAAATTACTTCTTTGCTTGATGGAAGGTTCAAGACACATCCACCCACCATTTTATCACGTCAGTATCCATCTCTCTTTAACGGAGGGTAGGAAACCACTAGCCTTCCTTAAAACCCTTAATGTTCTAGATGACAAAAAGTGCTGATTACCTAAATCCTTGTTCATTTTAAAAGGTCCATATCACTATAAGTGCACCAAATGTGCAATAACCTGATAACCTGAAACAGATGTTTATCCTACAATTTTTGCTGACTGTGTTATGCTCATCACTCTGAAGTGGTTTTAACTTTCTTTCATTCTGTGTCCCTGGGAGTATTTTGTTTGATGATAAAATATTTATTGCATGAGCTAAGTTGTTGTACAGCTTATGCGTTATTTTTTGAGGTTGTTCAGATCAGTCCCCTCAGTTGTGGAACTTTAAAGCTATTCAAAATATGCACAGTGGGCCCTCTTTATAGAGGGAATACTCCCCTCCCTTGAGTGATCTTTCTTCACCACATAATTTAAGTCAAGTGTAACTCAAGACCCATTTCTACTGCACCTGACACAACCAGATGATATTTGTTCACTTTTGCTCTGTTCAAGCAAGAATATGAGATTCATCACATATTTCACAAGACCATCCCTACTGTATATTCATTGAAATTTGTGTGGGTGGATAATTCACATAAGGACATTACAGAGTACAAATAATTCTAACATTAATTACATAAGAATAACTGTTTACACTAATCCAAAGTGGTAGAATTAACTTTGTGATCAATAAAAGTTCCTTCGTCATCCTTTGATATATCTGCTGGCTATTCCCAAAATTATACAATTACCAGAAATCTATTTTATAAACCATTTCAGACATTTATGGGCAGAGCTTTCTGATTTAAAGGTGGGGTAAGCGATTCTAATCCAGTACACCTTTTTTTCAAATGTATCTCCTCAGTCCGCTAGTTGTCTTTTCTGTTTGTGCACTGGAAAAATATTTGGTATTTTTACTCAGCCCTAGCTCTGTAAATGGGAAACAAACATAGTGGCCCTACCCCGCCACACAACACTATTCTAGCCGTTCCAGCCATGATTTGTTTGTCAGGTAACGTTAAATAACTTGCCCACAGACATTCAGCTTAGTTTTTCATTTGCCAAGATATACTGTTGTTGTGATGTTAGCTATATTAGTAGCAGGAGAGTTGTAAATACCGCTGTCTGAAGCTAGTGTGCTGGCTCTGGGACTATCTCGTCCTCTCCACATGTTAGCTTCGCAGCAGCAACAGTAACATCAGTATGCTAACCCACAGCTTAGCTATGTTAGTTACTTTACTTGCTGTGTTGTTGTTCACTCCATATAATGTTGGATGTTGGATTTCTCCAGAGTTGCTTATGCCTCCTTTAACTAATGCTATATATAAATATATTTAGATATTTGTAACATTAGACATCACAGGTAATTCTACAAAATGTCTTCATAGTCAAGTACAGAAGCCTACTTGTTTATACTGTGTGGTTTCTCTGCCAAACTGCATTCCTAAAACTTTCTGTATCTCATCAATTAATCTTGTGGAGATGGGTTATCGTATGATATGGATTGTTCTGACAGTAAATGTAGATACAAACAGAAGCTGAAAATCACATTTTAGAAAGAAAGACAGGAAGGAAGGAAGGAAGGAAGGAAGAAAGGAAGAAATCTATTATTACTAGGGATTACTAGTATTGTCCACACAATTTATGTATTGACTGGCAGGCAAAGTTTGTCTTCTCCAGTTCACCTACTGTACTTTTACATTTGAAACAAATGACTGACTAAAAATAAGTCTTAATTGTTTTCATTTGGTTTTGATCACAGTTAAAGAAGAGTTACTCATGCTATTTTGTGTCATCTGTTTATATGAAGGCCTTCTTCATTCTTACATTAGTTTATAGACTGATATATACTTTGTTGGTTTTACTACTGCACCCTGTAGTTGTTTTGAGGTATTTCAGCTACCAATTTCACCCCTCATCTACAGGTACCAAAAAGAAGAAATCTCAGTAGAAGCAAGTCACTTGGGGCCTTAACATCACTGTCCACAGACACACTCCCAACATACATCACAGATGCTGTGAGGAAGCGCTGCATGGCCATCAGGTGACATGGATTATTTTAGCACTTTAGACAGTAGAGTGTTTGTGTGTGTGTATAGTTTCTACACACTAAATAGTTAAATCCTCTTTACCGTCACAGAAAGTCAATGGAGATGAGGGATAGCAAGAATCAAGAGACTGCAGACTGGTTAAGGAAGTACCAAATGAGGTCCCAGGCCATGAAGAAGACAGTCACACTACATGCAAAGTTGCTGGACCCACACAGCAGCTTGAAAGAGGTGTATAATGAAAAACTGCAGCACCATCGGTGAGTACTGGTCAACTGAGGCCGTTCATTCTCCCAATTTTACAACTTTTGCAACTGGCATCACAACCACACATGCAAGCCACAGTAGTTCAAACTATAATCTTCTTTACATGAAGGGAGGCTGACCAACAAAGGATGAGAGAGTATACAAGAGAGTTACAGGATATCAAGGCACGAGTAAGAGAACGCCCTTATTTGTTTGAACAACTGAAACAGGTAAGTGACATAGTAAAGCTGAGAAGATTACATCACATTGTACATGGCATCCAGCATAACTTTGAGTTTTTACTGGCAGAAAAATGCAAAAGCTCATGCAGAGCAGACATACAGGAACACGCTGATGAAAGCCGGCTTGAAGGAGCAATTTGTTGAAGAAAATGGAGAAGCAGTTGAAGCAAAATCAACATCAACTAGCTCTGAGGACAATACAGATGAGAATGACATTCAAAGCAGGTATGCAGAGTGAGAATTTTTAGCAAGGTTTGTGTTCATCCACTATGTAATAACACTGTGTTCGGTAAAATTATGAATAGCACTGGAGCTGGAGAGCCAAGGACTTCATGTGGTTTGGTCATATTACATTACATAATTTTCTGAGCTTTTCCTGCAGCCTTTAGTGAAAAAAAGACAAATACTGTAGCCAAGTAAAAGTTCGATGTAATTACAATATAGCCGTTCTCTAACCCAACATGTCTGATTTAGGGAAGAAAATGTAGACGACGGGGAGAAAATTGAAGATGTGGAAGAGAAGAGCGTGAAGTCCCGAGGGGAAGAAATGCCATGATCAAAAAGATTCAGGCGGCACAGTGTTCCTTGTGGCCTCTCCGCTAGAAAACAACATTGTCCTCAAAAATGATTCATGTCACGGCTAACTGTCCGCACCAGTTGTTTGATAGTTTAAGATGTCCAACTTTAAATTATGACAAAACATCTCGACTATGCAATCACAAATGTGAGGGGTTACAACAAGAAAATTTAAGTTTATAGAACTGTATATGTTATATAAGTAATATTTTATATGCTTTGAGTTTACACACATACACACACACATACACATATGCATATGTGTGTGTATATATATATACATATATATGAATACAATCTGCATGGCATTTCAAGCTGATTAAACTGAAAATAAAAAAGCTAATTTTGTTTTAAGACAATCATTTTGCTAAGGAATAGGAAAACTGTCATTTAGAGGATGATGAACACTTGGTTACCAGAATAAACAGTTCAAAAACAAAATGAGAATACCAGTTGAGACCACTGTGTCTGTAACATTCATTTGTATTTTACTGTCTCTAAATCAAGAAACCCATAGGTTTTTTTTTTATATCAGAAGCTTCTTGACAGTAAAATGTTTTATCTGTCATTGCTCTTAGTTGTGTTTTTCTTTTTTCTTTTTTTAAATAGAATGAATGTAATTTTTTTAATTGTACAGTTCCCATAAGGACACCAAACGTCTGACATGGGCGTTTCTCAGATCTTTGGGTTAAAGTTCCCAGTTGTTCCTACAGCCACACTGCCACCTAAATAAACAGGTCACAGAGACCAGTTCAGTGGTTGGCTCCAATTCCATAGACCCACATCAAATACTCTTGTACACTGGCCTCCACTGTAAGCTTGTGCTTAGACAGCTAACTACCAGGAATTTTAGAAATCATTTTTACTGACAAACCACATGTGAATGTTGGAATATGTATATAATTATAATAAAAAAGTCATCATGGATACCAATGCACCATATGGGTACATGTTGTAGACCGCTATGTCATGCATTGAAGCCATTGAAGGCAATGTTTGCACGAGTTAAAAATTCCCCTTAAGGTAACACCATTGAATGTTGAAATGTACTACGCAGAGCTAAGTAAGTTACGTACAATTAAAATAAAATTTTGTGTTGCCAGACTGATGCAAGAATGGCAGAGAAAAGGTGACTGTAACGGTATTCAGAATGACTGTCTGTGGATTAAAATAAGCAAATGATTAACTTTGCATAATTAAAAAGAAAAGTGAAAAGTAAAAAAAAAAGCCAAAATGTTGTCACACAGTACTTATAGATGTGATAAATAATCCTTCCTTGAGATCTTAAACGTCACGTGACAATGCTTCAAGGGTTCCATCCTTTCAGGTTGTCATGGGAACCATGTATCCCTCCCTGCTCTGCCTTGTAGTCCCTCCGGAGAGCGCTGTGCACATCTGATTCCCCGGTGCACGGCTGAACACAAAACCAGTCTCTCCCAACCTGTTAGGTAATATCATAGACTGTATATAAAAAGGATAATATCCAAGTGTGAACCTGCGTCCATGAGATGCGCGATGGCAGCAGAAGCTTGTGACATATATTTAAGCAAACTGTAGTGGCTTGAATGTGTGGAGGCTAAGAAAGGGAACACATCTCATTTAGATTAATGAGAGGCTGTGCGCTTGGCCACCAAATGTTAAGATCACGCTGTTTGAGGAGTGGCAGTACTTAGCAGATGAACAATATAATTTCACCAAGGTGGTGCGTTCAGGTCTTTGATTATTCCAGCTGAACGATATAAAAATTCCCACACATTTAATTCTTTAAATGCATGGGTTGCAAATGTAGGCAGCCGAGGAAACACCCTAGAATAGATGATATAGGCATCAAATGGACTTAACTGTCACAATGTCAGCCAAGTTTTAGCCTCACATTTCCCTCGCTTGCTTTCTTCTCTTGCCATACCTCCGGTTGTTTCAGATTCTGTCCCTCCCACCTGCCCTTCACTAACCCTGTGTTCCCGCCATTCCCCATCACCTGATCTGCCCTGCCCACCGTGCACACCCGTTCCCACTTCCCCATAAGCCCATTAGCTTATAGCCCACTTATATTCATTTCCCAGATTGTCTGTTGTGCTTCTGCCTCAGCGATCTAACCATTTTGCCAGCCTGCTAGTTTTTTGTCATATCCACCCAGCAATTGTATTTAATGGCACGTTTATGTTTTCTGGTTATTTTGTTGTCCATCTCAATTTTATTGTCATTTGAATCCTCTTGATTATCAGGTAAAAGTGCAAAGGCCAAGCATTTTGTCAAGTGCAGTGTATGCTGCTTGTGGAGAGTTGTGTTCATGTATAGTGCCTGTGTGTTTTAGTCCTTGGTTCACCTGCAGGAGGAGCTGTGGCTCACTGAAGCCTCTCTGAAGCAGAAGAGAGAGATCCCTCTTTTTCTCCTTCAGTGGCATGAATAATATCCCCAGTGCTGGAGAGAGAGCATATCAAGAGGCAAACAGGAAGGGGAGAGAGAGATAGCAGCCAGTGTGACAGATAAGAGCGTGGCAGAACTTGTCTCCCTGACTGCGCCGAGGGCTGGGGAAAGAGAGCGCAAGTGCACCAGAGTGTCAGGCAAGGCAGCTGCCTGCACACACACAAACACACACATACACACACACACACACACACACACACACACACACACACACACACACACACACGCACACGCACGCACACACACACACACACACACTCACATAGACCCCTCAACCTGGCTGCACCTGAAGAAGTTCAGAGAGAAGAAGCCTCAAGAAGGTACAGTATGTTTGTGCATTTCTAACCTGGGAATCATATCTACTGCAGCTGTGTCCCCCTCTTTATATCTGAAACATTACAAGCTAATCAGCTGTCTGACGCTCACTTGGTGCTCCACTTTGTTTTCCAGGTGGGTTGGTGGTAGTTTGGTCCATGGATTAACTTGAATATTATGGCTTTCTTCAAACTGAACCTTCTTGTCCTGTAGAGGAGTTGTGTGTCTCCCCTCTAGAAGAACTAGCCTCGTGTTTACATTCTGAGGGAGGATGGAGAAGCTGTCAGGGAAAGACAAGGAGCTGATACGAGGCAGCTGGGAAAGCCTGGGCAAGAACAAAGTTCCTCATGGTGTCATCATGTTTTCCAGGTAATGTTTTACACAATCAGCATGATTTAAGTGGAAGTAAGTTATTTTGTGCAGTCAGCTTCTCATTTACATTACTACACTACACTACAACCAAAAGTAATAGATTCTTGCTTGTTTTTTGTGTTGTTACTTAGTAGCTGTAGTGTTATGTTGCTAACTGTTAGTGAATATGTATCACAGGTGTGGAGGGAGAAGCAATCTACAGTAGAACCTTCGCTGCACACTTTAACCACGCAGCGACCGGAAGCTTGACTTGTTGCTTGGCGACAGACTGCGATAATCCACAATTTACTTTGAGACAGCTGCCACTAAAGACTAACAGGAGAGATTTGTAGATGTATGATTTACAGATTGATTTTGTGTCTGTGTGGATGTTTGGCAACTGGTGCCATGTGTAAACACCTATAGAACAGTGTGGTATTTGTCTGTGGTAGACTGTTTGAGCTGGACCCTGCGCTCCTCAGTCTTTTCCACTACAGTACAAAGTGTGCCTCCACACAAGACTGTCTCTCCAGCCCCGAGTTCCTGGAACATGTCACCAAGGTAAGCTCCGTTCACCGCAATGACCACTACAAGTACACAGTTCCTAATTGTGCACGCTTCTGTAAGCTTTCTGTATGTGTATGTGCACGTGATGTCCAGGTGATGCTTGTGATCGACGCAGCAGTCAGCCACCTGGACGACCTTCACTCCTTGGAGGACTTTCTGCTCAACCTTGGGAGGAAGCATCAGGCAGTGGGAGTCAGCACACAGTCATTTGCTGTAAGACCAACATTTTATAATACCACTCTCAAAAAGCAATTTAACATGTGAATAAGCGGTGAAAAATATGTTTGTTTTTTTCTGTGTGTTCTTGCTTGTTATGGACTTCTTAAGGTGGTGGGTGAGTCCCTTCTCTACATGCTGCAGTGCAGTCTGGGCCAGGCCTACACCGCGCCGCTGCGTCAAGCCTGGCTAAACATGTACAGCATCGTGGTTGCAGCCATGAGCCGAGGGTACGGCGAGAACAAGGCTGACTGAGGTGCACAGCGGGAGCTGATGAGCAGTTGCTGTCAAATCACTCAAAATGGTTGCCATGGAATGCTGTATATTTGCTCAGTGAGTGGGGTCACATAGCGTAGCAAATGTATGGTGTGGTTACACTTTACAGTTGGATCGACCAATCGCAGAGTTTTATTTTCTTAGCTGTGGATGTTTAACTACCAGGCGATGCTGCTGTACAGCTGAGAGGATCTGAGCCAGCCTGCTGTCTGGGCCTGTAATCTGAGCGCCTCACACTGAGAAAAAGAAACCAGGATAACTGTTGAGTCTCTTTTGTATATAATGACTTTGATATATCTACTCAAATGATAACAGTGACTATAGTGGTCTTTGTGATGTATCTTATAAGAGTTGCACAATTGTGAAACACTTGATATTATATCTAGGCATCACACACTACTCAAACTGCGATGGTAACTGTGGCCAGCATGGGCAGCTCTCTATATAAACAGGAACGCAGTGATGCTTTACAAAACATGTTTGAAGTTTTGGGATGAAGCATTGTGATTTTACAGCGGAAAATCGTATCACCGTAATCATAATCTTAATGTGTTTTCTATTAATATTACACATCATTACACCTCTTTTTGTGTGTGACTTTGTTATCTAACATTTAACCTAACCTAACCTAACCTTTTAAATTGTATTCAGTAGATACTGACAAGAACTGTTATACTCTCTGATAGTTTCTTCAGAGATCTAAGACTGTTAAGGCGTCCACGTACACCGTGGTGTGTGATGCTCTCCTCAGTAGGTTTCAGCTGACTGTTAAACTCTAACAAATAGACTGTTATGTGACCTTTTAGAGTTTGAAAGTAAAAGGGCATCTTGGATGAACTGTAACATCTTTGTTCTTTGGCCAACATTTTCCAGTCATTGTTACTGTAAAGTAGTTTTGTTGTGCTGTTGTTACTTATCTAATGCTTATTAACTGTATTGTTGTGGCTACAAATGTAGTATTACCTCGGCTTGAGAGGGGAAGATGAGCAGAGTGGCCTGTGTTTCTCCAGCACAGAGCTTCTACATGCAAGTGAAGCTGGAAGTGAATATTTGTTTTCATTTTGTTTTATGAAACAAAGACAAACTTAATTGATTTTTAAAACAAATAATACAGAGATACTGTGTGCTGACACTGTCCAATATGTATGCATTATTATTGCTGCCATAGCACTGTATGTATCATCCTCAGCTGTTATTTACATTCATGGTCATAATGCCAAGTAACTTAGCAACAGTGCGCCAAGTATTAGATAATAACACCATACAACTGTAAATCCAAGCTGCTGATATGTGGTTATTATCGCTTTAGTCTCGGTTTACATTTATACAGTTTATTTTTATATACTCTGAAATGTATGTGTAGTTAGTATTTTTTGTTTTACATGATGTACTCACATACATTACATTGTGTGGATTTCCAGTTAATGAACCCAACAACCAGGCAGATTTGCTGCTTTTAATCAGGTTTCATTTTAATCCAAATAATAGAAACGTTATCAACTCTTAATGTGCAGTCAGAAAGAGTTATTTATTGATCAATTTTATCCCTGCATAGTATGTTCAGTCCAGTCCAGTTCTTTCCAGCAGACAGGTGTAATGTTTATTAACTGACTGTGTTGGTGCTGTATTTGTAGTGATTCTTTTCTTAGTACTAGTACGCAGCCCTATGCAGGTTGTTGTTGTTCTCCATGTCTCTGTTTTCAATTACCTGATCTTGGGTATCTTTAGCAGGCGTGACTGACAACTGGCATGTTATCCCGTTAACATCCAGCTCTGTACATATTGGGTGTGTCACTGTCTACCTCATCATTATCAGCTGCTACTGAACAGTGATGACTTCACCTAGTTATCCTTCAACCAAAAACGCAAATTATTATTATTAGAGTTAATGCAAGCAGGCACTCTTTGTTTACTCTTTGTAAACTGGATTCTATCCTACACTTTAAAAAACAACAACGTTGTTCTGTGCTTACTTGATACTAAATAAAGTGATCTTCTGTGGATATTTTACTGCTAAACGAGGTCAGTGTGATTTCCTCTCGTTTGTCACAGACGCTGATGGTTACAATACAATGGTCTCCGTTTTGAAATTAATCACACAATGCCTGATTTCCTTCCCGCTGACAGCCCATCCTCTAGTGTTACATAAGATCGAAGCGCCAAATGGCTCATCGCTCTTGAGGGCGACTTCAGGCACATCAGCCCACTTATTCATGCAACTGCACAATGTCACATCAAGATTGTTTACAGAATTCCACAAATGTGCCATTATTTGTAGTTTGGCTTGTTTTGTTTTAATTTTCACCCCCAAAACAAGCAAAATGCTTACAGATAGGCCTAGTTTAATATAGGTTTCTCCTTCAGTATCAGTTTATGTATATAGGTCCTATAGGTGAAGCCACAGTAAAGACGTGGAGGGTTGGTGTAAATATCTAAATACACAGTGCTCATTTCTCCTGTTTATACAATTTGGTTGTATCATTGTTAAAGTCACATCCATGAGTTGGCTGTCTGTTCTGCTGTTGGAGAAGTGGCTGACATGGCCTTAATCTGTCTCTCTGCACTCCCAACAGTATCCTCTTCACTCTCTCTGTCCAACTAAGAGTTGGCTGTATTTATTGCTCCATGTCTCGCTTTAACCTCCAGAACAACACTGAGCCAGAGCTGTCTAGCCATTGGGCTTCATGGAGACTCTGATCCGACAGTCTCTCAAGTCACCAACCAATCAAAACGGCAAAAAAATTCAATAAACTACTGACTGAAATACATGTTTATTTCCCTTCCCTCATTAATCTGTCCTATACTTCAACAGTCTTACCTTGTAGTGTGCCAGGATTTGCTCTGCAGGCTGTCGTCTGGAGAGGAGTCTGCAAGAAAAGACAACACGCATTATTTTTAGAAAGTCTGCAATGTGTTTAGGAATGAAGGGGTATTGAATGTTGTCATGGCAACTGTTAAGTGATGGTCCAGAGTTTTGTGTGTGTGTGTGTGTGTGCGTGTTTTTGATGAAGGAGGAAACCAAGACATTGCTCAATCGCTCATCCTAAATCATACTGTGGAGAGGAGTGATTGAGTGGACAGTGACTACGTGTGCGGGCTCAGGCTAATAAGTTGCGCTCCGATAGCGCTCTCGGTGCTGGAGTCTGCAACACAAGCCACAACATTGGGAATAAGCTGTCAGCAACTACAAAACAGTTATTTCCAAATGAAGTACAAAGTACAAGGCTGGCGTTATTCATATATTTGCTGATTGTCAACAGAAAACAAGGCTGAAACAATGCGTTATTCCCTCTCTCATTACTTTCTGAATTCCCTATCTTGTCTTATGTCTTTGTAAATGTTTAAAAACCAGTCACAAATATGTAGTTTCATTTAAAAAGGCTGTAATTTCCCAAAACAACTGAGCACTGTTGTTTTCAGCAATTGTTACTCAAACAAGAGTAAATTGTGTAGTTCTTCTTTACTGTTTTCAGCTGCGGATAATACACATTTGGTATGTTATAGCTTTTGGGCCGGCTCGAGCCCAGCTCGAGCCCAGCTCGGACCAGAGTTGCGGAGGTGCCAGTTCACCTCCTGGCCTTGAGCAAGTCCCTGAACTGCTCGGGGCAGCCCCCCTCACTCTGACATCTCTCCATGTTTGTGCATGTGTGTGTGTTTCAGACCTGTGTGTACAATAATAACAGAGTGAAAAAACATTGAATTTCCCCTTGCGGGATTAATAAAGTATATCTTCTTCTTGTTGACACATGAAGGTGTCAAAAATAGGAGGTGTTTCATTCATCCCCTATTTTTTTTAGTTGTCTGTGTCACACCAGTCTGACAAAAAACAGACACATGTAGGGCACGACTCCTGTTTTACTCACGCACACGTGAGTCGTATTTCTCCAATTAATGTTCGCCAATTTTCTTCCATTTTACGCGTGTAACTACAGACAAACAATTGTGTATTCGGTTCTGCGCGTTGCCAAATCGCCTGTGACCTACAATCAGTACTGTGCCTGAACGCATCTTGTGTAGTCACAGACAGAAGACTGAAGCTGCTGCCCCTCTAACAATGTTGCTTTTGCTACATGGGCTGTCGCGACATTGTTTTAGAAAGTATTTACGGCAGTAAAATGGTGTATGTGTGGTTTACTCAAAATAAACGACAGTGCCCAAGTACACGGTAATGAAAGGACATCTTGACCAGTGCAACAGTGTGGCTCATTGATGTGTTTTTAATAGTTTTTGGACCACAATGGACCTCTGACACAGGGGAATACGCTATAAGAGGCTTTGGCTACACAGACAGTAGTACGATTTATGGGTTTGGTCTTTTGATGTGATTTGCTGACAGTCAAAATATAGAATAGAGACAGTCTTATTTGGATCAGTTCAAATACAGACATTTGGTAAATTCTTCAAGGCCAAATTTGTCTGTGCATGAGCGGGCACAGGGCATCTAATTAAATCCACTGATAATTGATTTCCTATGGTTATTTTCTTGTTCAGCTGGAAGTCCAAAAATATGTCAAAGGTTATGTAGGAACTGAGCTGTGCAGCAGCCACAGCCATATGTCCTGCAATCAACTGGTGTGCTGAATTAGATTTTTTCCTTCGATTTTCCTTCGATATAATGAGGTAGGCAATTTCTACCTGATACTTTTTGATTTAATAAGGTAACCTCCCTGTGAAACACTTTCTACCAAGTTGACAAACCAATCTTAGCACAAGGTTCAGCTTGAATGTGTGATATGATCGAAAGGTGGACCTTGTGGTGAGATTGTTGCGTCAGCAACTGTTTCCAAGGTCAAGGATGAACTTTCAATCTCAACATTTAAGCCAATATGGACAAAAAGTCTTCCCAGTGATCAGAAACATGGGATTTTTTAATATAAAACTGGGCAAACTCCACCTGCTGAGTAACATTATGAGATGGGATTGGGAGCTGCTGCACAGCTACCAAATGGACCTTGTGGGAATACAGTTTCCAAGGTCATGAATGAGCTTTCTTATGTATGTTAATTGGATGAGTAAAATATACTCTAGGGGAGAAACAAACCTACTTTGAGCCACAATATTATGTAAATACTAAACAACACCATCTTATCAAGCTACATTTGCATGCAGAAACTAACCCATATGGGAGTGACAATGTGTTTGCTGCAGGAGGCAGAAACATTTGCTATTCTAAGCATCTGGGCAGGAGAAGGGCGAGAGGCAGGCCATGCACCCAGGGGAATTCACCTTTCGCTGAGAAGCATGCTCCCAGCAGTTGCCACGGGTGACAGGGGAAATGTCAAGGACTTTTCTTTCTTTTTCGTAACTCTTAGCAACGAAGAAGCACTGTATAATGGCAGGCGTTATCTTTTATCTACAAACCCATTCACTGCAGAAAAATGACATCCATCCAGTCAATGTGTTTCTCAGAAAAAAAACAACATACACGTGCACCACTTTGCTGGAACAGCATCTACCATTGGCACCATGGTGCTACTACTTTCCAATGTGGTTTGGATAAAAGCAGATGTTCATACAATGAATTGCTCCATCCACCCTCAGATGTGGTTTCAGGGACTAGTAGTATATACAGAGGCTTGTCCCACAGTTAGTTTGTATGCAGACACTGCTTTAAACACTAAGCTAACGTGCACCTGCATTCATTAGCTGCCTCCCCCAATCTCTGTTAAATTAGGGTATCTGATCTTTTCAAAGGAATCACTTTCATCAGACTTAGGAATAGTTTGTCTTTTTTTATTGCAGTTAGATGAGACGATTGATACCACTCTTAGCCACTCGTGTCGTATCAATCTTCTCATCTAACTCTCTCCAAGAAAGCAAATAAGCATATTTCCCATGATGTCAAGCTATTCTTTTAAATTGTAGATCTTAAAATTAGTCATAAATGAGTATTGTACGCAAAATGCACATCCACTCTTGCACTATTACTTACCACATGAAGTCTGACTCACTGCCTCTCAAAAAACCTTCATCATAGACCACAGTAGAGGAGAGCAATAAGGAGTTCATGGCACAAGATGAGTGGATTGAGCTGAATTGATTTTAATTTCAGATCACAACACTTCACTTTTGACAGATGAAAACTTGTTAGCCTGACAGAGATCAATCTCAAACGCAATCTGTCCCTTTACCTACATTTATAATAGGTTGGTCACATATGAACAAAAAGTTTGTATGATACACACATTTCTTAACCAAGAGCAAAAACCAGTGGACATGTCTGGAAAGCTAATGTGCCTCCAAATAGACCTTGGATGGCCAAGCCGACAGTATATGAACAGACATGACAGGATATTATAAAACTAGCTAAGCATGAAAATGGACAATCCCTCCTTGCACAGCCATTAGAGCTAAGAATACCCTAATAAGTTTTATTTTGTATTTTTCAAAGGAAAGCATGTTTAATGATCTGTGAAACAAGCTTCTGCAAGAGAAACCCACAGGACATGCTGGCAGTTCAGAGACAGAAATGAGATGCTCTTTGATGTTTTTTCTTTCCAAATAGATGCTACTTCATAATTCTCTGCACTGACCACTTCATACTCTCTTTGCTGCCAGCTTTCATCTGTTTTACAAAGCACGAGGAGCTAGAATTAGATTCCTTGTAAAATGGAGCAAATGCCGTTCATTTTATGCAATAATATGCCATGAAATTTATAAAAGTACCACTGAAAAAAAATCATATCACAAGTGTGTAATTTTATATGATTAAAACCATAATACACCTTCATACATAACACACAATGGACTGAAATTCACTCTACTGAACAACAAGAAGCTTTTCAGCTGTTCTGAGAGAGGATTTACTGTAGGTGGGCTGATCAACAACACTGTGAATCAAACATGCTTAAATTAAAATGACCTAAAGACAAATCATCCAAACATCCAAAGATTTTTATCCTCTACAGTGATACTGGCCATTCATCCTATATGATCTGTATCTGAAAAGATATTTATTGAAACCAACAACAAGGTCACAATACAAAACATCTTTAAAACGCAACGGAACTGCTGTGATGTAAAGACACACAGTAAATTAGCTTAATGTTGGGCATGACAGTTGGGCATGACAGTTCTTGACCTTGATAAAAAAAAAAAAATCATTACTCATGTTCCACTTACTTACTTACTCGTATTTCATGGTCTTCATCAGCAGATGAGGTTTGCTCAGTTGTCATTGATCTCTAGACATTCAAATTATTCTGGCCATCTTTAGGCGGTATCCATGTCCATGTAGTTGACTGTTATAGTTTATTCTTAAAAAGGTACAGAAAAAGAAAGTACTGTAAATGGACCTTGAGTGCAGTTTGTTTTCTCAAGTTTCCAAGGTCTAGAATGAACTATAAAGCTCAACATTTAAACTAAAATGATCCTAAAAGTGCACAGAATAGCGGCAAGTTTGAACATCTACAGTTTCACGGTAACTGAACTGTACTAACCTACTGATGATAACCATGTGATATGGTCAGAAGCTCCAGAAAAAGGTAGCGTGTGAAGATTGTTCTGTCAATATGTGGTGGTGGAATGAGCTCACTGCTTGTCTGTTGACTGAAAGAATGACCTGGCCATTTACAGCTGGTCACTACTCTGGGTTGTTTAGATCTTGTGTTTGTTGTTGTTGTGTTTTCATCTCTTGGCTGTTTAACGGCTCTTTAGTTTTCAGTCCATGCAGCATATTTCAGGCCATGCTGGATTGTCACACGAAAAGGAGTGTTTGTTCAAGGCACAGCAAGAGACGTGAGTAACAAACTACAATCAGTTTACATTCAGTTTCATGGGAAACACTTTCATCCCACCATGAGGAACTCAAAATAACCCAAAAATACAAAACTTGCCGACATACAGACTGTAAACCAATGAGACGTGCATGTGTGTAACTTGACCTTAAGAATAAGGATATGAATACATACCTCATTTAACATACAGTAGTCAACATGCAGTGGTGTGTCACACTGAATAGGTTAATGCAACTGAAATCATGGTATGGTATGGTAGTGCTTGACATTTACTGTTTGTATTTGTATTTGGGACACAACAAAATATAGCACAGAAATATTTGACCAACACAAAAGAAATGAATGATTACTAGCACATATAACAAATTATTATGAAACATTTTTACAACAAAAAAAAAAATAAATATAACGGCTTTTAGTAACACAGGATTTAGTTACTTTGAGTATTTCACATAATTAGCAAAATTAATAAATTCTTTCCATGAGACCATAGACTCCATGGCATATTTTTTAAATATTGTAATTCCAGGATGTGCTTCTAATTTCCCCATGCCTCGTACAATTTAAAGGAATGGTTCTACATTTTGGGAAAGGAACTTATTTGCTTTATTGTCGAGAGTTAGATGAGAGGATCGATACCACGCACACATCTGTCTTATATAAAGCTATAGCCTGCAGAGGATTAGCTTAGCTTAGCATGAGGATTGGGAACAGGGGGGAAACAGCTAGCCAGGTTCAGTCCAAAAGGTAACAAAAGCCTCCAACCAGCACCTCTAAAGGTCACAAATTAACAATTCATATCTAATTTGTTTAAATCCATAGAAAAGCAAAAGTGTTCGAGACAATTTTCAGCAGCGGATTAAGAAAACTGGGGAGTTGTGTGGCACAATTACTTCCTGGAGTCTCCACTGGTAGCAACAAGACGCCAGTAAGTTGCTGCAGCCAGCCAAGGAATGGTCATGTACTGGCTCTGGCCTAACTGTTTCCCCTTGTTTCCAGTCTTTTTGCTAAGCTTACCTAAACTGACTACTGGCTGTAGCTTCATATTAACTGTACAGACATGCAAGTAGTATTGATTGAGCAAGAATGCAAATCAGCATATGCAAAATATTGAACCATTCCCTTAAAATAGATATCGAGTTGGATCACATACACAGTCAAAACAGCACAATAAGGGAATACTCTGGTTAAAATGGGACAGCTCTGCAAATCCTTGGCCCATCTCCAGTGGCCCCCGCCCCTAATCCAAAGCACAATATCAATGACACCAAAAATACTGTAGCAAAAATAGCAACCTTAAATTGATAATAGTTACAACAAGCTTCAGGTACAGTCAAGCTGCTTGTGCCTCCATGGAGAGAGTCTACATATATTACAGTACATCTCTGGGTTACATTCAGTCCCCCGTCTGTCTGCTTTCTCACTGCAGATGGCTTCACAACTAGCTGCCCTCACCCTCAGCCTCTCCGAGGAACCAGATATCACCCGTGCCCAGACCACTCTGTCAGTCTGCCGGGGCAAGTCTGCTCACACCACCCACTCTGATGGGAACTTTCACCTCCACTCATGCCCGAGTGGCACAGCCTGGAGTATTTTCTAATAGTCACTTTCATTACTTTTAACCTTTTTAACTCGCAAATGAAGCCATAGAAGAAGATGGAATTCCTGTCATGGAGCATCCAATAGTTTAACTAAAATCATCTGTACATTAAATGTGGATTCTGTTGAGATTGATGTTTGTGTCCATAAGATGGGTTCAGGAGATGTTATGGCAAACTGCTGTCTATATAGTTATAGTGACGTTTACATAGATGCTGCTTCTATATTCTTAAGCTTCTTTCCTCTTGGGGCTCTTCATCCTTTTCTAACAAGCCCAGTCTAGTCTCAAGTTCTGAGGCAGCTAAGTTGGAGTCTGAGGTTAGTGGCGAAAACGCAGCATTGCGGCATTTAGCAATCTGTGTTCCCCAGGCGAAGGACACGTGGAATCAGCTTGGGGGATTTGGTGTTACTGGTAGCTCACGGGGCTGTCCATGAGTGGGCTGGAGCAGTAGGGGTCTGGGGGGTCTTGGAGCTCAGTCTCATGTGTATGGGCGTGGTCTCCCTCGCACTCCTCCTCCTCCACAGGGCCGTGGCTTGAACTTTGGGAGCTGGCCATGGCGCCGTAGCTGTGGTGGGCCGGGGAGGGCATGGGAGTCAAAGCCAGCTCTGGCTCCAGCAACACGGATGCCACAAACAGCTGGGGGAGGAAGATCAACGTGTAGTTTATGATCGTGTCACACAGTAAATCTCTTACGTAACGGGAGTGCACAAAATGGAAGTATGGTTTTAAATTTGGGGTTGTGGTCTTTATTGTGCACGGTCAGTGCAACATAATATCTTCAAATATCCAAGCTAAGATTAATGAATTAACAATTTTTACTTACCATATCCTTAATCCAATCTAAAAAATACAGTAAAGTACATAAAATATAAATCCAGTTTTTAGAGACATAACCTATCTGCTCTGAAGGATCATAAAGGTGATTGTACATGTTTTAACTTAGAAGTTAAAGTGTAAAGTGTAAAGTTCAACGTAGGCAAAGTATTCAGATCCTTCATTTAAGTAAAATTAGTATTTCTGTACCACATTGTAAAAATCCTGCATAACAAGTAAATGTCCTGCATTCATAATATCACCATTGTTAGAATATTATAGATAAAAAATGTAGCCTACTTTAAATGTTTTATAAATGTTAAAATACTCCTCTGTAATCTAGTGGGGTAGAAGTATGTAGTATAAAATGGAAATACTCCTACAAATATCATCTGAAACAAACAACAACAAAAAATACATGAACTATATATATATATAGTTCATGTATATATATATATATATACATATACACACATACATATACATATATATATATATATATATATATATATATATATATATTTTAAGCCATTCATTACAAATCACATATACTTTACATGTTCTTCCAACCATTTCCCCATACTACCATAGTGTATTAGTGTGGTTTTGATTCCCACCCAAGACTTTCAAATTATAACATCCATGTTTTTTTGTTTGTCTTCTGGGGTTTATTCTCTGACAACATTACTCTTAAATGCAACACTGCTCAGCAGCTGACTCTCAAATCTCAGATGTCAGGGCTTCCCACCAGTACTTACAGTAAATGCACCAGCCTGGAAACCTCAATGCCCAATGTAACTCACAAATAAAACCTGAAGTTTCCTGTCCCTGACATATGTGGCAAAGGTAGGCAAAACACATAAAAATAAGAAATACAATATACTTTGAAAAATGTTCAACACTAACTTAAAGTATATGTAATTTTTAATAAATAGATTAAAACAACAAAAAAAAGCAAATAAAATGGGATGCTCCTGTAAGGTATGTTTTAATTGTGTACGGTCAGGCTAATAGGAGTAAAAGGTGATGCTTTACACTGGAGGCAGTGGTGGATGTTACAGTACTCCTGTCTGCATCAGTGAACATCCCCTCTGTTGGCTGATCAGACATCTGAAATAAAAAAAAATGCACACTATTCATTCAGTATTAGTACATCTCCAGATGAACTTATTCTCAGTGAGGTGTGGTGGAGCTGACCTGGTAACTCGTTGACTTGTCTGGTTGCTTCCTAAGGCACAGGCGGAAGAGGGAAAAAGCAATAGAGGAGAGCAGGGACGCTAAGGTGAAGAGGGTGATGGGGTGCACTGGACCTGTGACAGTAAGGTGGGATTGTCATATGTCATAAAGCACACTCACAATACAATGACAGAAACATTAACAGGAAATAAATGGTAGTGATAAGGTACCTAATCTGAGCATAGAGAAGAAGAGTAGCCAGAACATGCAGAGGATGGGAGCCACGATGACTTGGCTGATTGCTGCTCTGTGGATCCGCTGGTTGAGTTTGGTGGGAACATATGCATAGTAGATGTTGTATCGGTCAACCATGTGCTTCAGGATCACATAGAGCAGACCTAGAGAAGCACAAAATATCACACATACAAATTTGATGAAATCAATCACACCTGAGGCTGTGGGATAGAAATGAGTGGTGGCCCAGGGATGGCAGGGAAAAGCATCGAAATATCTAAAACACCACAGCAGTCTTTAGAAACTCGAGGGCAGTATAGTTGATTTAGGGTGGAAAGGCAGAAAATCCTGTTATTGTTCTTTAACATAATACTGGTATTTTATATTTTGTTCTCTGAACCATTCAAGTTTAATGCAATGATCAATGTGCAGTTAAATGATGCGACGTGACGTGGATACAGTGTGACCTGATTTGAAGAAAAAAATGAAAATATGTCCTTAAAACATGCAAATTCTGTTTCATTTTCAAATTCATAAAAATCATATTATCCTTGGCAGTTACATGAAATCCTGTGTTGCTTCTTTGTGCTTCCACCCGATGACCAATGAGATTATTTGCCTCAGCTCTTCCTCTGAAAAATGTTTGTACAACTAAAATGCCAATCTGCAGAAACCGACACAGGTAAAATGCACAGAACAGCAGGGTAATAAATATGAAAGGGCCTATTCGCACTGAGGATTTGAATATAGAAGTAAATAGAAGCTTGGTGAGCTCTGGGCAGAGACAGGAGCAGAGTGGGCGTCTGGCTCGCAACTCACTGTGTCTGGGTGTCTGGGACTACAGCAGCAAATTCACACAGTCTGCGTCGGACTGGCAGGCAGCAGAGGAGAGTGAGGTCACAGTATGAGGACAGACAACACATACACATGCAAGACTAAGAGGGAAGGTGATAGGATCGAGGAGAAAGAAAAAAGGTGGAAAGAAGGAAGGGGTAGATGGTGGATAAAGGAGGATCACTGTATGTTGCTTACCGAAGGGCGTAATAATGGGACATGTGATGCTGTAGGTCATACTGACTGCAAAGATACACATGGTCCAGGCATACTCCAGGCCAAACTGGAACTCATAAGCCTGACTCTGCAGATGAAAACACAAACACAGTAAGTCCAACGATGGTTAAAATCAAGGGCAACTGGACTTGGTTGAAGATACTGGAAGACGTTTCGTCCCTCATCCAAAGGACTGAAGAAGTCCTTTGGATGAGGGACGAAACGTCTTCCTTCGTTGGATAACTATGACCTGGATGACTGAGAATCTTCATAGACAAACACAGTAAGATTCTTACAACTAACGCAACTGACACAAAAAACACTGAGATAAGCATGAAAGGCCCAGCTAACCCGTTTGACATGAATGCGCTCAGCCTGGGACTTGGCAAAGCAGAGGCGGATGGCATACACCGTCAGTGCCGGGATGCGAAGCAGCTCCATAGATGTGCCAATCAGACTGGATGTAATAACATAGTTTACAAAGAATGCACCGTTGTCAGGAAGAAACACGCACCTGCAGCAAAAACAAAACAATGAAACCTGAGTGTTTGGGACTGAAATGTCTTTTTAGGAGCCAAATGGGGAGGTTTTATTTCAACAAAAGAGCAATCTTACTGGAATTTGACCTCCTTCTCATCCAGGAAGTTGACATCAAAGAGCCATGTGAAGAACAGGTCCAGACTACAGAAAGAATAAAATATCAAAAGGACATATTTCCAAAAAAAAAGTTGCAAACAATTCAAAAGTGGGTATAAATAATAAGAACTGCATAAAAATAAGAAGAAAAGCGTCTGTAGATCTGCTGTAAGTGTACCTGGATAGACCAAGTGAGGGCAGGAGGATGACCATGAAGACCAGCAGTAAAAAACACTTGTGCATTGTTACTTGGTTCTCACCAGACCTGAGACAAATGAATCATAAGGGATCACCATAAAAAAACATCCTTATGCAATGCATATTTAGTTGTAAAACATATTTACACTCTTAAACATGATAAATTCATAAGGTGAAATAATGTAATGTAAAGTCAGTTGACTCTACATGTACAGGACAGCTAGGTTCATTAGCATGAACTACGCTTTTCACTCCAAGAAACAGCTGATTTGCATTCGGCCCTCCGCACATCACGCCTGCACAACACGTTTGTGGGGGTGGTTATGTGAAGAAAGGGTTCTCATAGGTGCAGCGTAAGGTTCTCTCCTTATGCACAGTTGTTGTGCTCCTCCTCCTGCTAGTCACCATGTGCTGCTCTGCACACGGTGACTACTGTGCATATCATTATCCTCACATGGAGATCTCTATGACAACCTGCCCAGAATAACAGCGCGGGGAGAGTGACAGCGAGAAGGAGGGAGAGTGGGGAGAGAGTAAAAAGAGCAACAGGGTGAAAGAGAAAAAAATATATAATTGAGATAAAGAAAAGAAAAGGAATGGTGGGAGTTGAGGGGAAGACAGGCAGCTACACATGAAGGGTCCATTTGAAGAAGCAAAGGACAGGCATTTCCATTTCAGAGGAGAGTGGCGATGGTTGGTAAGTACCTGGTCCAGTGGGACTCAAAGAAGGCTGAGTAGTAGACGATGAAGGGCAGGAGCACTGAAAACGCCCACAGCAGGAGGGTCGGGAAGAACTGGGTAATGACTGGGCTCTGGTTTGGATGGCAAAATGATTCATTAATGGAACCGAAGAGGGCTAATAATGCTGCATTAAGGTCACGCAGTTCAACTCAATCTCAAACTCTGACCTGCAGACTCTCCACAGGCCTTGTGACATTGAACTTGTCCATTGTGTTGACGATGATGGCGGGAGTGGTGAGGAAGAAGAGTAGCAGGAAGAGGAGGATGTTGAGGAGGACACAGCGGAGCCACCAGCGAGATCCACACACTGACAGGTTTTCCCTGGTGATGGGAGAAAAATAATGAGCCTCAATTCACAATCATCCAGCAGGGCAGACAGCACAGATAAAAACACCACTCTCCCCTGACACGCCTGTACTGTATGCGTTGACTCCCTGAAATAGCGAGCCTGGTCACCTCTTGTATGTGAGCTGGTCAAAGTGTTTCCACTGGAGAGCAGGCTGGGAACAGCACACTTCAACATTCAATTTTAATGAAGGAACAAACGTACCTGCTCCACCCCGCTGCCTGCGACTGCTCCTGTCTAGTTAGTGCGAGAACACATTCACGCACATACCAACCAATCAGGCGTGAAGCACAAACAGCGACATCTCTTTGGTTGATCTCCCGTACATATGCATCACTCATTTGTTACATAATCTCACTGTGCTTTCCAAGATAAGAAATGTGCATTATAGCTAATCAAATCATGGATAGGTAAGGAGCTTTAAATAGTGTTTGAGACTGATACACACAAGCAACAACATACTGAAGCACAGTTACAGCCCACAGAGCTTTGACTTGAGGTTCCAGATCCAGAGGTTTCCATAGATACCAAATATGTGTAGGTAAAATTAATAGGGTAATGTGATAAATGATGGATAAGACTTGTAAAACTGGATATTACACTCAAATCATGGGTCAGCGTGGGTTTCCTCCCACAGTCCAGAAACATGCAGGTTAGGTTAATAAGTTACTGTAGGTGTGAATGTGAGTGTGAACGTTTCTCTGTCAGTGTACCATGCTTCTCCTCCAATGCATGCTGGGATAGCATACTGCTCCCTCCAGCCATGCACAGGATAAGGACAAATAATGGATGGATAGATATCTCCCTTTCTTTAAAGTGCTAGAAAAGTATGTATATTATGTTGTCCATGTGGAAATGTTTTACTTTGAAACTCATCAAGTGAAAATAAGAGTATTTGGTTTAAGGGGCACCAAAAAAAACTAACAAAAACCAAATGACGGGAGTTCCAGTAATGTCAGCACTGACCAGATGATGTCACTAGGAGCAGGTGCGTAGTCAATCCCCCATTCGTGCGACTGCACCACAGTGGTGATGCTGGACTGCTGGGGTCTGCGACGACAGCGCACACGACTGTAGTCCTTCACAATGCTGGAAAGCAAAACAAGATACCGCTGCAGAAGTCTGCATCAGCACTCCATGAATTTTATAGTTGCTCCCTGCTGTGACAGGGTTTCTGGGATGACAGGGCCAGGCAGACATAAATCCTCAATGTCATGCTGGTGTTTACTCACACAGCAGTCATCCTCTCATCGCGGAAAGTCACAAAGGCAATGCCCAGCCTCTTCATGGAGATGCGGTTCTTCTCAGCATTAAACTCGTCCGTCCACTTTTCTTCTAACTCACTGTAATACTGTTCTGCATCCACCTGCAGAAAAAAGTTAGAGCACATGTTTCTCACTGCATCTTCCACTCTCAGAGAGATACCCAGATTTACAGTGGCAAGATACTGTATGTTGTTGCTGCAGTTACCTACTTTTGGATTGGAGTGCCATCCAGTGGTAACATACTTTCTGTGCAGCACAACTATGCAGTCACCTATCAATCCCAGTTTTGCTGATTAATAAGTACCTTTTCAAAACCACAGATGTCGCAGCACAATATCTGGGCGCATGGGTGGGTCTTAATCATGATCTTCCCCTCCTTTTGGGCCTTTGTGGCAAAATACAGCCTGCCTTTCATTGCCTTGCGCCTGCAAAACATAGCATCGTCAGACAAGAACCTCTCACTGATCACAAACTGTGTTGCTTCAATCTGCAGCAGTTAAGATACCTCTCTAAGTCCAGCCTCATCAGCTTGTGGACATCAAAGCAGAGACGGATATCAGTGACAGTACAGCTGGGGTAGGCCTCACTGGTGAATGGAGCAAAAGAAGATAATCATAATGAAGGTGATGACAATGGGCTTGTGCATGTGTTTGCATAGAGGATTGCAAGAGGGTTTCCTTGTGACACCAATCAAAGATAAGGAGAGGATTTAACTTGACTTCATAATAAACAGAGAAGAAAATGTGTGTACTGGAAGTGTTTGGTGATGAGTCCTGGGTCAGAGATCTCTCTTGGTATGGAGGTAATCATCAGTGTCCTGGCTACCTGCAACACATAATGCAACCACCGTGAGCAGTTACGTTATGATGAATAGTGATCAAGTGATATCAGCCATGCTAGTGGCGTGGCTCGCTGGTCAGTCGGTTGGTGCCGACAGAAATATCTCAAGAACTACATGGACAAATTTGGTACATCCATTCATGGTCCCCAGAGAGTGAATCCTTTGACTTTCCTTTAGCACCACTAGCAGGTTGACATTTGTGGTTCAGAGTGAAATCTCTCTACCACTATTTGGAACACACATTCATGTTCTCCTCAAGATGAAAAGTAATCACTTTATCCATTAACTTTTCATCAGATCAAAATTTTAATTTGTGCTTAGGGCTAATGAGCAAATGTCAGCATGCTAACATCCTTAACTAGAGAAACAGACTTGACTAAGATGGATGTTTTTGCAGCGGAGAAATTGCCAGGCCTTGATGTTTGAACAGCATGATGTGCTGGTGACAGACCTTCTCATCCTCTCTGTACTCCAGCCGTATGGAGTGGTGAACCATACACAGCAATGTGATGATGAAGTACAACAGAGCCAATATGCTGTGGAGCCAAAGAAAGCTGTCCCTGTGAGGAACAAAAACACTGCTGTCATTTAAAATTATATTATATATATATATATATATATATATATATATATATATATATATATATATATATATATATATATATATATATATATATATATATATATATGTATATAGTCTAATGTTTTTTTCTTGGTCCTGTGCTATTTCATGAGATTTGATGTCATTCATGAAGTGTTACACTTACTTTGAGCTAACATTAGCCAGTGTTGTTCTTCCAAAGTTTTCAGGACTGTCTCCTGTAGAAATAACGCAACATGACAGAGAGCGAGACATTTTCATTTCTAAATGACTTTAAACCCCTCCTCTTTTGTCTGGAGGGTGAGGCAACAATGGAGCAATGCCGCTATTCAGAGAAAACTTTTTCCATCCAATTTAATGAAATCCCTCCCGTCTCAATGACATTTCACACAAAATTCAAACATCGTAGTCATGCCTAACTCTGCTGTTTTAATTTGGGCACCCTTTGTTTGCTGTTGCCACGGCAGCTTGTCAATGGGTGTTGGTTTATTTAATGACTAGGGTGACACACTCGTCCATAAGATGACAGCCAGCAGTAATAAAAAAGTTTCTGTGGACAGCCCATTCCTTGTAGACCCCATAATGACTCCTGCCTTCATCCTGTTATAGAATGGCTTACTCAACGCTTCCTACAAAATAAGCACACAACTGCCAAAAGCCATTTCTGCTGCTATATAGCAGCTAATTTTGCACCATCCCACCCCTGACACCTACATGTGTATGTTAACAGGAAATTAAGCACTTTCTATTCCTACAATCCTACTTGGAAGCGCTAGATGAATTGCCACTGGTATGTTTGCAACTCCCACTGAAATACAGTGTTGTGTGTGTAAATAGTAGTGGGCTATTATTATTTCAAAATGTTTATTTAAGTTAAGTTAAAAATAACTTTCGAGTTCTAATCTTATTTCATTTACGCAAGAAAAACTTTGTTGTTTCACCACAGATTGTTTTAAGCTAAAGTTTCTGAGTATCTAACTGATACATCCTTTGGTGTGTACATGTGTGCATGATCGTCTCTGTGTGGCCTGGCTTCTCTCCTCGCCGAGGTGCCCCATGTGTCTCTCTAGAGCTTAAAGATATCCCTCAGCTTTTGGCCAGCTAGACCATCATGTAGGGACCAAAATACCCAGGAGGTTCCCGGAAAAGTTGACCGGCAGGATTACGGCCAAAGACAGCAGGCAAACCACTGTCATGAGCAGGATGATGTGGCGCTGGAAGGACAGGTATGTGACAGCATCAATGCCACATTTGCTACGGATCTCGTCATCCCTGCGGAAACACAGAGAGGGGAAACTTTCAGAATCTCTTAATCAGAGAGATCCCAAACTTTCTCTGCTACATGACAAAAATAGAGATGCTGCAAATTGCTTAGTAGTGGAATTTCCACACATGCAGATGTGATGATAATCAACGCAGTGCAATCTTAATCTAGCATATGTATGCAGCTCTGTCTATTGCCAGGACAAATCGTCCGACAGCTTATACGTCATCATGAGTAAAACTGAGGCAAAACTACTTTGGTGTAAGAATATGTGGTAAGCCGGGAGGTTCAGGAAACCCAGTGTCATAAAATAGAACAAAAAATAAAAAACAGCCTGAAAAAAGAAAAGAAAAGAAAAGAGGTGCATGCTAGTCTCATGGCAGCCCACACATTGCGAACTCGCAGGGTGGGTTTTCACTTTCCCAGGGATCCCAGGGTGAGCCACTGGCATGAGAGCTAAAAACAGAAGCAACCAAACTCTACCATAATACTATGGAAACCATGGGCACCTTTTTACAGGCCTAAATCTGTTGTGTAAAGTCAGACTCGAGCAAGTGCAAATAGTCAATGGGAAACCATGGCACCAGTGGTCACATGAGCCCAGACTCGTTTGTTTTTCCTGCTAAATGAGATATAACACGAGACTTTACATTTGACGGTGCCATCAGCTTTGAAGACAGAGGGCCAATAAAAGGATGGAAGCTAAGATGAGAGAAGGGTAAAATAATTACAAGGGCAACTGCTTCGTGTACTTACTTCATATGGTAAAGTGATGAGAGCCACGAGCAGAAGCCCTGGAAGGAGAGGGGAATCATAAAACATCCAATGGATTCCGTATTAGAGATCATAAATGAAATATGCATGCAAGTCTGTGCACACCACATCTGGCTACTTGCATGCATTCACTATTTGCATAGTAATAAGAGTGACACAGAGATGGAGATTTAATAGGTCTAGCCTGGAGCAGTAACCACTTTACTGCAGCCTCAGTTTTGTGTAGGCACAGGGCGATGACTCTCGTCTGACTCTTTGTGATACACCATTATAAACATGCAGGGAGTGACCTCAGTCTATCACACAGGTGTCATGGAGTCACAGACAGTCCAGCTGAGTCATGATCCAAACTTTCCCCTACAACAGTTGACGCAGTGCCATCTTAGACAAATGGAGTTGATTATACAAGTGCAGCATGCAGCATTTTTAAACATCACTATATTACTGACAAATTAACTTTGACAACTTGGTATAATGACTGTAAATAAATTAGAACTTTCTACATTTCCCATTATGCCTTCTGCTTTATATTTTGCAGTGTAGAGACAACTGGAGTCTGTCTGGAGTCTTCTCCTTAAATGCTATGCCTGTTTACCCAAATTATACTATTTAAGTGATTAAAGGCACCCTGTGGAGTTTTTAACCACTAGTGGCACTGTGAAGCAGTGTTAAGATGAGCAGGTGTTCTGCCAGCCACACAACTTTTAATATATTTGTAGCATCTCACAGCTATGAAATTAACATCTCATTGAGAGTCATACTTTCAAACTAGGGCTGGGCAGTTATAAACTTATTATCGCCCCTTAAGGCATTAATTAATTAACACCAACAATTATTTTATGCATGTTAATGCAGTTTTTATTTTTTTATTATTAGTTTGAAAGTCCCTTGCTCACTGGCTCTGAATACACATACAGTCAAACCATGGGTCACAGGAGGGGCGGGATGTTGATCAGCCTGCAAATCACCCACCCAAACAAGCAGTGGAGGGAGGCTTTGGCAGACTACGCTGTCTTCTTTTTTCCATATTTCTCCACCCGCGATCTGTTATCACGGCAGCAGGTGAGCCGCTTGCTTGTTAATGACGCAGCCTATCAAACAACTCAAACAGCCGAAACCAACATCTGAACCCTGTGTTTACTGTTGCTTTAACGTTACCTGGTCTGTGCTTGTAAAATATCCACCGCGATTTGTTACGTCATTTCAAGTTTTTAACCAGTGAACACGCGCACCGACCTCCCCCCAAACTTTCCCTTACAACAGTTGACACTGCCATCTTAGACAAGTGGAGTTGATTATACAAGTTCAGCATGCAGCATTTTTAAACATCACTATATTACTTACAAATTAACTGTGACAACTTGGTATAATGACAAATTAGAACTTTCTACATTTCCCATTATGCTTTATATTTTGCAGTGTAGAGACAACTGGAATCTGTCTGGAGTCTTCTGTGCTTGTAAAATGTAAAATATCTACCGCGTCTGTGCGAGTGAGACTGACAGACTGCTGCTCCCAGATAAAAGATACCTGATGCTGATACCTGTTCAGAAAAAATACAACAAGACAATTGGACTCTGATAGTAACTTGTTTTAACAAGCTAGATAAAAGGTAATGCCCTTGCAGTGGCAAATACCTTTAGATATATTTTATTGCTACTCTGTAAAGGGAATACTGCTGGAAAAAGGACCTTATTTGTTTAAAGTGTTTGCAAACCACAGGTTATTACACTTTTGTGTATACAGAAGACATACATTTAAATTAAAATTGCGCACTACTTTAGAATTCATTATTCAATTTTAACAATTAATCGCAACAAAATCATACGAGTAATCGCGATTAAAAATTTTATCGTTGCCCAGCACTATTTCAAACCAAATAAAAATGGTCTTCCGACACTTCAGACTGCCTTTCCTGGCTCCAGTTGCTGTGAACATGACCATGTAAAGAAAAGGTGACAAAACTAAAGATGGGGACCACACCACATGGGCACAGCAAGCATGTAACATTAGCATTCATTTTGTGTCGTGTTGGCGTCTACCTGACAACTTTAAGCCCAATATTCACTCTCCTTTTAACTGGTCTTGTCTCCACCAATCAAATTGGTATTGCTGCTAAATGTCCACTGGCTAGTCGTTAACTTTGTTTGCCAGCCGTTTGGTGGAAGACAGTGGGTTAAACTAATTAAGAGTTTTTCGTTGAAAACTGTTGCCTGCTGCGACTGGAAAGCAGGTTAATGAGAGCAGAGCTGGAGCACTGTAAAACCAAAACAATGGGCTAAAAGACGCTAAAGACGCTCAATGGGCTACAGCTGGAAGGACCTGCAAAGTTGTGGTTTCATCACCACACTCTTTTCACATTACACATGGTCATCTACTACATTGTAAATAAAATAATATTAATTAGTGCAGCTATAAAGTAAGACCTCAGAAAAGGACCACGCTAATGAAAATTCAGAATTTAAAACAATGTAGGTTTCAACACATACAAAAAAATATAACATGTTGACTTCATTTCTGTTAGACCTTTAGGACACGTAAATCTGTTTTGTTGAGACAGGCTGCATGTGAACAAGTGTTTGTTTAGCATGAAATCCACAGGGTACCTTTAATTGATCTGAAAAGTCTATTAATGGGTTTCTTGGTGTTTTGAGGAGCTGATGAAAAATTCTTAGCCAAACCAAACCAAACTTACCATGTCCTTGGTCTCAGAGTCGGAGGGGCTGGATTCTGATGGAGACTTTTCCTTCTCACTTGGTTCTCCATAAAACAGGGACGTGAGACTGAATTGGAAAGACGAGATAAACACAGAAATAGCAAGATCATATTGACTGTGGCCTGAAATAACCATATATCGATATCAATATCATATGTAACTCAGAGCTGAAAAGGAGATCACAACCAAGACATAATGTAACAGCTGTAGACTGTCCCACATAACTGCAGCCTGATGGTTGAGTTTATGGATATTTCTTTGTGTGCCATACCACTGACAGTTCAACAGCATGTCAAATTAAGCTGCATAATTGAATTAGTACGAGAGAGGGCCGCTTGGCAAAACACATGCTGCTTGCCCTCGGTTGTAATGAAGCCGCTACCAGTCAGGCAGAACTAATCAAGCCTGCAGTCCCCTGGAGACGAGACTCAGGTCAAGCAGAGGAAAACCGCTGCAGACTAATGCAGACTGCTGGGTGGGTCTCGACTCATTTTGTATCCTTAAAGGTATCTGAATAAGTGCTGAAACGATAATTCAATTAGTTGATCGGCAAGAAATTCAAAACATTTTTGATCATTTATTATTTGTTTAAAGGATGCGTCTGGTGATATTCTATATTTTTCTTACCATCAAAAAATTCCATGAAAACACTAAAACCAACAATGCATTATCCTAACAAATATTATCTGTGTATCCAAAGAGTATTATTGCATCCTGTTATTTTATTATTGCATTATTTACTTTTGTTTGAGTAATGTTTGCTAAAAATTACATAGCCCAGCTGTTTTAGGAAATTATTTAGTCTTTTATAAAAATTAAAACTAATGTGTGACCTGTTTTAAAGATTTAACTATCAATTGGGAACCAATGGATTTTGGGTTGAGTGCCACAGACAGTATAAAAAAAGTTGGAAAGGTTAACTCATTGTTTGCTTTGATCTTTTCATGGGATATGATACAAATCTAGAATAACACTGGCCTTCTTTAAGCTATTTATCAAGGGAAAATGTCAAATGTTTACTGGTTCATGTGGAAGCTCTTTGAAGTAAGTTGCTTCCCATGCAGTGCCATTTATATTCAGCAGAGGGAGCTGCAGGCTTCAGGATCAGGACTCAGGAGTGATCCCACTGGGAATTATTTCTCCATCTTAAATGTTGACAGGGCTCACAGACAAGCAAGTGTATCAGATTTTTTGACAGCAAGTGATTGATTTACCTGTCATTCTCCATCAGCAGAGCCAGGCGGCCATAGTCCCATGCAGCCTTCCTCAGGCAGGAGAAGATGAGCAACAGGAACTGCAACACAGGACAAGAACATGAATGCAGAGCGTTTAAGAATCACAGGTACACGCCTTGTCCTTATCTGCTCTCGGCTTAATATTTTCCAAAACCTTTGCTTGATTTGAAAGCTGAGGCCCATCTCTGCATCCTCATAAAAAACCTACAAATGAAAGGTTCAAAATGCAGCAGCAATAATAAGCCTTCTTCTTTCTTTAGAGTAGTACGTGGTTGTCTTGGAAACTACCAGAAACCAGTCAGCATGCACACACGAACACATGCTGTGCACTAATGACGAATGAGTGTGATCAATAGCAAGAATAAAAATGAATAGGCTCCATTCTGCCACAAATGGAAAGCTTAACTGTAAACTCACAATTAAGTGAAAAGACCCTCTTTGATGACATTATAGTAGACAATAGTAGATTAGTGAGGAAGCGCCCTGGTTAAATATCTAAGATCATAACAGGGTGATGATGGATGAATGTTGATAAATGCAAATTGAGTGACAGTGCTGATGAATGTTTGATTTTAATTACAGCATTAAATCATTTACTCATTTGGGTTTAGAAGACATTTGGTTTAGCGGGCATGGGTGACAACCACGTTAATAAGACGAAAGCTCCCATAAATATTGAATGATTAATTCTGTAGTGATGCAGAGGCATGCATAGACAATCAGGGCATCCTCAACTGAGGCATGTAGATGAATAATCAGCGTGTGTTCACATTAGCAGTCAGGGCCAAACTCCTTCTTTAAATAAGAAATCTCTCCATTGTCTTGCTGTTTTCTGGGTGTCCATCCTGCTTGTTGTTTTATTTTAATTGGTTTTGATGTGTGGGCATGCTCTCCTCAAGTCCCACAGATGATTTATTCTGTATGATGTTGGGATTGATGCAGAGGCGTGCTCCTGTCACCTGGGGAGAAGCGTGTTTTGACTCATGCTTGTCATTAAGAGACAGTGCTCAACCCGCTGTGTTGTCTTGACAACCAGACGGCAATAAAAATGAGCCAATTAAAATGTGGATGTGGCAGATTGAGAGTGATATCAGTATAGAGATCAAGCTTGACAAGGCCTGACATTGGATCTGAGTTAGTTGACAAGTGAAAATGGAAGTCTATTATTATCTGGAGAAAAATATGCACAGTATGTTTATAAACAGCGTATACATGTATCATCCGATGTGAAAGGAAAGTTAAAATCATTAAAACATGGCAGATTGCCATTGTCTAGAATGCAATTTGGTACTTATGACAAGCACACAATGTGTGTTCTTGTACATTCTTATAATATCCAAAAGTCCAGACAAGGAGACAAATAAAAAGCTCCACCGTGTTTTGCAAGACAATGGCTTAATTTAAAGTTTGGATTTGTTTTTTAGAGACTTTTTCTTGAGAAAATAAAGTTCCTATCTTGGCAGAGGAATATGAATCTGAATATTTGTATGTATAATAACAATATGCATCCAATATAAGTTTTTTGACATTTACTGTTCGCTCCATCCAAAATCCAAAGTGTTAGTCAAGTGTTTCTATACTCTGTTTCTTTAATTGATAAAATGGAGCCTTTCCTAGCATGCACCAGTCTATCATATAGACAAACATTCAGAACCCCCATTCACACATAGGAGCTGTTTAAAGTCTCCAACCACTTGTCTTTGGTCTGTTGAAGGAATACCACCATTTTGAATGTAATAAACAAATTATATGGAGGAAACCCACATACGGGAGACCATAAGATTTTATATGAGTACTGCTACAAGATGATGTCTTTCAAAGTTCATGCCTCTAGCTTGGACTGCACGCTTTCTGTTAAAAATGTGTTGTCTCCAAATCCAAGATGAGATAATGCTGATGACAGGTTACGAACACCAAGCACACCCACAACAACAAAGGACATTTAATAAGACTCATAAGATACACAAATAAACAGTAAACATTAAACATTAGACCACTTAAAAGTACAATTTGTACATAGGTTTAAAGGATTTAGTTATTTTAAAAAGCAGTAACAACAATTAATAGTATCTAGTTTGACGTCCTGGGATGAGACCGGGCTGGATGTACAGTATATCCAATGTCTGATATAACATCCTACAGGTGTAGGTTAATATGAAAGCACTGGTTAAGGTTAGTTAGGATCCAGGGTGAGGGTTAAAATCAAGACTAAATTTACTGTTAGGATTACATTTGCATTTAGGAACGTGGTAGTGAGGGCTGAGGTCCACAATTTATTGAAAAAGAGCATGTGTGCGTGTTCACACATTTCCAACACACACTATGTCTGCATTCATTTCACATAGCATGAGTGCTCCTGATGCTGCTCTTGTAATGTATTATCATCAAGAGCTTGAGACAGGATGTCCATTAGATACTGTGTTGTTAAAGAAACAGCCCTCAGACCATGTGTCACCTCTTGTCTGTTTGTATCAGGGCTCTTCATAATATCTCAACAGGGTGTTGGCAGCTATGAATATATTCAGAAACCTTGTTGTCAGGGCCCTCTAAGCTGCAGCAGTATTTAGAGAAGAGATGATTCGTGGAAACAAATGTGTTGTGAGTGCAAAAGTGGTTGTAACTAAAGCAGGAACGATAACTCAATTAATTGATTTGCAGATGAACAGAAAATTGCCTATTTTGATGACTGATGGTTTAAGTAACTTTTGATTTTTTGTAGTAAGTAGTAATTTCTATTTTATTTTTTTAATCAAAAATGGCAAAAAATGTTGACATTTTGTGTTTCTCTATGATGAAGTCTATGATAGTAAAATGAATCAGTAATACAATAATCGTTGGCTAAAGCCATTATCCTAACGTCCTTATATTTGCATAATATAATCAAATTTAACTGCTCTTCTGCAGTTCATTGTGTAAACTGTGAATATTATTGTTTGTGTGTGTGTGCGTGTCTGTACCATCCAGAGAACCACATTGATGGTGAGGACCGTGGGCACCCCTCCAAACGGCAGACCCTGAAGGACGCTGCTGCGGGAGTGGGCACGGTAGCATCTCTCAACGGTGCTGTTTTCTTCTCCAAACGAGTCCAAGAGGCTCAGAACATCCAGGTCCACAGCGCTCCCCTCCACAGGTGGCGCTCCCGTCACAAACAGCTCAGAGTGCGCCATCAGCACCGGACCATATCTGAAGGAAGAAATAAAGAGACCATTAGCAAAGATTGGGCGACTTGCTTGTTTGTTTGACATGTCTCTGTCTTTATTTTATAGTTTTGAGACACACCTGTTAAAGTTCTCAGGCTCCAGCAATGGCTTTACATATCCTAACCCCTTCATAGTGCATGATTATTTGCTGAAATTAAAGTGACACTTTTGCTTTAACTTTTGCTAAACAGCTGCCAAGTGACCATTTTTAGATATTCCTAAATCATAGCATTTAGCAGTTTAGCTAACTTGCTGTTTAGCATTTATTGAAAATACTAAGCTATTTTTAGGTTAGCTTGAAAGGAGAAAAGTCAAAAAGTGAGCAAACTGGATCAGTAATGTGGTTTTAGGTTATCCAACAATATTATCTAGGTAAGGATACAAAAACAATGAGCCTGTAAAGCTGCTGAACTGAGAAAAGGCTTTTCATCGTGTTAATTTGTTATTTCTTTTCTTAAAAGTTGCATGTCTCACTTTAAAAGGGGCTATATATATTTTTTCAGTGAAATTAATCACTTTTTTATTGCCTGTGTGTCAAGGGATTGTAATCTCACGTAAAAATTATCGACATTTCGGGTTTTTGTGTTACCTCTGACGGCCAGTATGCCTGATCCTATGTGAAGACATAGAGAGAGTTGACTTTCAACCTATTAGAAAGGTAAACTAACATTACTGCAAATCATGTGAAACAAGTTAGGTAACGTTAGCTCACTCGCTAACACTGAGCAGTTGCTTAAAGTTATAAAAATATTACTGTAACGTTGCAGTGGGAGTTTACATGAGTTTCCAGCACTTTGGGTGAAGTTCATGAGCGGATGAGGAAAGCAAGCATACGAGCACGTATCTGATTGCAAAATAAAAACCGCACTGCTAAAGGCCGCTGTGAGTTTTAAGTCTTGTCATTTGTTGCCATATATCTTTTCAATACCTACTCACCCTATACAAGCCTGTATTTACACAGACTGAGAATTACGATGTTTGTGCATTTTAATGAATACAGTCAGTAAGGTAGTGGTGCTGGTAAGAAGCAATAACATTGGGATAGTCTGTTTTTTCAACATAAAATTGTTGTGACTCATTGTGCCACTCACTCTAAGTGCAATTGTGATAGGATCAGTCTAATGACCATCACGGCCCATTAGCAGCCATTGATCTGTGTCTGTTTCTTTATCTGACAAATAGAAGTGGAGACATCACATGGAAGCGACAAACTGATTGGATGACAAATACAATGGAGGCTTCTTAAAAAGCCATAATATGTAACATGAATATGCTAATGAGCCTATTCAACTACATAGAGAAGAACATATTTCTGTTAGAATGAAGAAAAATAGTTTCACGAGAACAAGACTCACAAGAGTAAAAGCTTAAACTGTTTACTCCACTACAGTTTTGAACAACTTGTTGAGGATTGGCAGTTATAGCCACTCTCTGCATGTTTCCCTCTGTCTAGAGACACATGTACAGGATATGCTCATTCACACTGCCATGACTACAGAATAGAGGCCCGAACCATCTGTCCTCCAGCACCACACAAGCTCCTCACTTTTGATCAATACAGTCCCGACTCCCAGCTGCTCAGCTTGTGTACACTCCTCACTGAATAAACAGGGAAATGGAGCAGCAGCAGAGTGCTGACAAAGCTTTGCATCAATACTGCGATTCCACCTGAGTGAAAGACATCAGTCATCAGATTTCATGAGGAAAATGAGATTCCACGATATATTCAGAGATGCTATTACTGTGACAGAACGATGGTCTCAGTAGTAAACACACAGTGGCCTGCGCAGTAGTAAATGTCAGCCAAAACTGCATCACAACCCTCTGCTGTCCAGCTCTTACAAGAGCTGTGAGGTAACACGAGATTGAAATAAGTGAGAAATGGGAGAGGACGCCACAGGCCTCCAAACTGGCACACATTACCGAACCCAGCCTTGGTGTGATTTACCACTGCGCTAATGATGTCACTTCCTCAGAAGCACCATTACAGTTTTGTGAGGCATTTACCAAATAGCGCTTATTGTGCAACAGAAGCCACAGCAAGATGTCTGTTGTGGGAGGCGAGCTGATCAATGACAGTGCTGCTGGACTGGCTGTACATCAGAGAGGTCTGGAGATGTACAGAAGTCTAAAAATACAACCCAGTAATTTTTAGCAGCTCTCTCTGCACCACTGTAGTCTTTTTCATATTTCCTGTTGTGAAACTGTAAAGGTTGTTTAGATACCGTGATACAAAGCATCTGAGCCTCCCCGTGGACACAAATGGAGATTCTCTGAGGATGGATCACAAAGCAAATCCATAACGTACACACACACACACACACACAGACCCACACACAGTCTGCAGAGCTGTGTTAGAAGCCGATGTACCATACATCATGCTTTCTCTCTCTGCCAATAATAAATTAAGCCACTGATATGCACAAAAGGATTATTTTACAGCTAAAAATGGAATAATAACCACATGGACTTAGAGTTCAAGGAGAGAGCATGCAGTTTTCTGAGAAGCACATAAAACTGAGACTCCAACTCTCAATAGCTGGTTGATCACACGCATTATGTTAGTTTGATTATGCTATTGTAGTTGGACTAGATTATTTATATTGAACAGCTATTGGATGATACATTTTAAGTAAAGATTTGTGTCTAAAATTGTCATTTTGGAAACACGTTTTCCAACCAGCTATCTTCAGGAGATATCAAAGCTGTGTGGACAATAGAACAATAAATCAGCCGTTGACCGTCAAGCATTGACCTTTTTTTAAGTAATTCAATCATCGTATTAAAAAAGCCTAAAATGGAAAGCTGCTGTAAAAAAAAGTGTTCTTATTTTTATATTCCTGAGACGAGCTGATTGTAGCAATCAAATCAATGAGCAACTGTGTGAACTGTGACATACAGCAACAGGAGCTAAATCAAACAGAAATGATGCCTCATTATGGAAGAAAATACAACAACTAGCTGTGAACTGGAAGCATACTGAGCTCTAACAAAGTTTGACATGCAGAAGCATAAACAGACCTTTATCGGCTCATTGAGCTGTTCTTCCTGCATCAGACGAGGCGTTCACTTTGAATTCTACCGGCTGCTGATGCTAACAGTGAAACTCTTCCTCTCCACCCCCAGAACAGAGCAGGATGCTGAAGGATACAGGCAGACTATGGTGTGGTTTCACACAACATTTGGACAAACGTCACAGCATGACTCAGCAGTTTAACCATGAGACTCCATACTTTCTGTCTAACCCCTCAAATATAAACACTCAAACATGCTCACAGTGATCCCATGGTATCCATTTCCTCTCCAGCTTACTGAGATTCGGCAAATCTGAAGTCTTTCTAATCCTTTCCCTCTGCTCATTTCTCTCTTCCTCATCCCTGAATCAGGCTGCCAAGCCAACGCAGCAGATTACAAACTGATGTTTGGCTTGGGAAGCAACGTTGTTGTGCCTCCCGCTGGCAGCATGAGTGAATTCTCTGTGCTCAGTTTGACTATTATGATAACAGATGCTGAAGTCAGTACTGGAGCCTCGAGCTGGTGATGACTTCTACCTGAGTTTGAGTCAGAGAAGCAGAAAAAAAGGGGAAAGCTGTAAAGAGGAAAAAGCTAGCTCATGTCAGTTAATCTGCTCATTGCACTAGAAAACAGCTGAGGTATCTCCATGTGTGTTTCTGTGTGTGCGTGAGAGTGAGTGAGTGAGTGAGTGAGTGAGTGAGTGAGTGATATTATCCCTGAGGTGATGGAGACAAAACAAATATACTGTAAGTCAGAAATTCATAATTAATTAATTCAAAATTAATTTATAGTAAACTTCAATCCAGATGTCTATCATCCCTCCCTTATAATGTTTTGATTAAATCAGTTGCTGCTGTAGCTTCACGTATTGTCTAAAAGCAACATTACTTTTTGGTTGTCACCAACTATGCCAGTGGCCTAACTGTTAAACTCGTGGCTTCAAAACGGCAGTCCAGAAACCAATGGGTGACGTCACGGTGACTACATCCACTTCTTTTATACATGTTCTGTACTAATATAATGGCAATCCATCCAACAATTTTTACTCATGGCTCATGGTACAGGAAAAGTCAGGGGATCGCAAAAGTCATTAGGATTCATCCTCTTGGCACCATGGATATATGTACCAAAGTTCAATGGCAATCCATCCAACAGTTGTTAAACCATGTCACTGAAAAAAACAAAATAGCTGGCGTTGCTAATAAAAAAATCAATGAGTTGCCAAAACAGCAGCATCCTCTGGGGCCCATGAATGTCTATGCAAAAAATCATGACAATTAATCCAATAGTTGTTATGTTTGAGTCTACACCAAAGTAGTGACTGACCGACATTACCCTTCAAGGAGCCATGCTGCAAGCCTAGCTAAAAACACTGGGGAAATAAGTTTCCTGCCAATATCCGAACCAAGTGCGAAGGCATTTACTACTCACTTTTACAATCCTTTAAATCACTTCACCAAATACCTTATTAAGTGCTTTGTCATGCTGGAATGAGAAACTAAATTTATGTTATCATATTAAAAAAAACACACACACACAGGAAACACGTTTACATCTAAACATGTTTTAAAGGGGTTGGATTCCCAGCCGCACCAAAGCCTCATCAACAACATAAACCATTTGGTGGACATCGTCAAACATTCAGTTGGATACATCTACCTGCCTGAGGGAATGAGACAGAGAGATGGCCCTGTTTTGCCAGAGACATGTACCATAAATAAAGCGTGAACTTACGTTGACGTCCACACCTCTGCACCTTAGCAACTGCCAGCCACTGTGAGAGAAAAGACTACCCCGAAGGACAACTTGCAATCACCATAAATAAAAGAATAATTGCTTCAGAGCTGTTGTTCTCTTCTTGACTGCACTGACTGCAGCCTTGTTAAACATGCAGTTTTCACCTGCTGCTGATCTGTTTGTGCTGGTTAAGGCTCTTCTCTCTGCTTAAGACA